CTCTTTCTGGAGCTCCTTCATTGCCTTCCACAGGCTACATGGCTAACCTTTGACAGGAGAGCACAGCTCAACTCATCGAGTCACTCAACACGCACCGTGTAAATACGCTCACGGAGCTATGCAGAATTGAGCGAACAGCTGCAGCTTCTAATGAAGAGGAATCACTTCTCATTCGAGATCCCTTGACCGCGGCTTGGACTTACTATGTCACATCTCACAATCTACTCAATGAACTTCGCAATTTGACGCCAAACTACACCTTCAGCAACGATTTACTCGATGATGCTAAATGGAGAGTGAGTAGCGATCTGAACAGCGATAGGAGTTGGAATTATGCCTGGTTGGTTTTGAGCAAAATACATGATAAGTAAGTCCTGGCCATTCATTCCGCGTGTCATTTGTGTGAGATGAGATGAAAACATATATTGATCAATGCATCTTAGTGGGATGATACAAACACATGCTGAGAGCGAAGCGATTAAACCAGAAATGTGGGGAGGTCGATACCCAGAAGCCGAGGAGGCGGCTCAGCTCGCTGCTTGCTTTGCGTATGAGTGGCAAGAAGCTCTGGATCAAATGTTGAGACATTGGGAGACTCCTCCAACTATTTCTGGATACTAATCTTCCTACTTGTGTATCCTTTAGTTACGATGAGCAAGTAAAATGACCGTTATCCAAGATAGTGGCCCAGGACACTTGTGGTATTGCGATACACTTCCCCAAAATTCTCTTCTCAGCATTTTTGGTACCGGAATTTTGCTATGATTTTGGGATTCTAGACGGTATATATTTTTTGCGGCTCATTTTTTTTTTGGCGATTTCAAGTGGCATAGATGACACCCATAGCATCGCAGGCGAAGTGAACAGGTTCATCAGGGATTCAAGTTTCAAACCTCAGGGGGAAAGGGGTGAAGGGACTATTTGGAGGCAGATTAAAATGGAACGCTGCATTTGTTTCATTGTTCTTCTTATTCACATTCCATGGGCGAAAGCAGGTTTTGATTTATAGAGCCATTCGCATTTTGTGCAAACAAAAAAAATAGATGAGAGATTTGAATTAGACTATTGTATTCTCCACAGCATCCATTTCCACATCAAGAACAGCAATCAGACTCGACTGAAAGCCTAAAGAAGTGCAGAGCAGCGCAAACGACGCCCCAAAGAGACAGAATGAGTACGCGAAAACAATGATGTCAGCTCAAAACATGTATGCCGCGCAGCTTTCCCGTACATTGAGAAAGAAAATCCTCTCGTAAGTCAACAAAGCCCTTGCCAAGCTATGAATGACGACTACACCACATCACGTCATCTGGAAAGCCATGCGAGTGCCTCATGAGCCTCATTTTCTCTCTACACCACGATACACGCCGCGCTAGCGGATACACGCGGCATAATTCTCAGTATGTGACTTTATATCATAATTAATCGTATTGATGACACCAAGAAGCCTATAAACGTGCGGATCTGGAGTAAGTCAAGGCTCATATATAACCTAACTCTTCAAGCAAATGATGTATTGACACGGTACATATTGAGTGATAGGATCAGAAGGGCTGTCTCAAAGTAGAAACTCACGTTATATGGGGCTATGAGGGTATAAGCTCGGTGCGAGACTGGACTTGATATACTTGTTTTCTGTATCTGGTTTAAGCTTTAGCGGTATAGCATTTCATTGGCCTAAGTGGTGTGTAGTACAAACTCTCTGATCTGTGCTATGCTGAGATCTCGAGGCGTAGAAAGACTGGATGGATTCATACAGCTCCTTGATTCGGAGGATGAGAGGTTCTACAATAGAGGCCTATTGTTCTGACCTGCTTAATACAATATCAAACAAAGCCCTCTTTGACTATGTAGAACGATGGAACAGAAATTCCATCATATCGGCAAAATCCATTGCTCAAAATACCTACCTTCCATTCGATGACTTTGCCTTCACTTCACTTAGAATTCATAAAGACTGCTTATGAATGATGAAAACATAATCTTGAAATTACCATCCAGGTGACCACTAGATAATGATCAATTAATAAGTGAATACTGTAATCTGTGAATTCAGCTTTGATATATTTGAGGCCTTGGCGCCTCATCCCTTGCTATGTCGTCCGAACACTCTCGAGGGCCAGAGAAAAACAATTCCGCTAGTGAATCGATGGACAGAAAGCCAAAGGAACGTACCTAGGTATCTCCTACGCAAACCTTTTTCCTCCACCTTTCTTTTACAAAACAACAACCATCCAAGATGTTTCCCATCATGGTGTCCCCCGTCATCTCGTCTTCCGAGCCAGCCAAGGAGAACAAACTTACCAGAGCTTGGAAAGAGTGTCTGGTGAATCTCAAGCAACCGATTCGAAATTGCCAGGCGAAAAAATTTCAATTGAATTGAGACGCACTTCAACAGTTAGTTCTAAAGGAATGAAACCCCCTCTTGAACCACACAAAAGACGTGCCAGCGTACAGCTGGAGACGACTACGAAGAAGATGGACACCGTTGGAGAAGAAGCCGCCGGTGAACTTGGGGGGTTTGGTGGACTTGGAATCAATTTCTATGATCATCTTGGTAACAAAATTGCGCTGCAGGCAATTGTACCTCCTGAAATACCCAGAAGTCAATCTCCTCAAATACCAAGGACTCAATCTCCTCGAGCGCCGGGTACTCAGAAGCCCATATCGCCGCTTCCAAGGGTACGTGCCTTCTTTTCTCCGTCATATATTGCCCTACATCGCTTTACCGCGAGAACCTACCTTGACAGAAGATTGATTGTTGTTCCATTCTACAGATCCGCCTGTAGTTGCACGATCACCTTTGGTAATTCGCGAATCCTTCACTCGAAACTTCAGCTTTCCTGAAAATCCGGACCCAGAAGCTATTGTCGATAGCGACGCTTTCCTTGGTAGTCTTCTCGAAAGAACCCTACGCGAGCAATCCGAAGCTCTTTGTCCAAGTCCAACGGGGAGCAGGAAGAGCTCTATTCGCCTCAATACACCAAAGAGCATCCGTCAAGTCTCTGCTGCCAAGCCAATTACAACTTCTGGTCCCTTCGGAATGAGAAATTATACGGCACCAATGAATATAACTTCTTCGTCTGAGCTCACGTATACACCAACCCGAGGCCCAAAGCTAGGTATTACTACATCATTACCACATTCGCGAATTTTGAGTTTGCGAACACCGAGCGTTACTGAATCAGAAGTGGCAGATTATTTTAATTCTGGAGTTATCAGTAAAGAAAATAGTGGTTTTACTCCCGAGTCAGTTACAAGTGAAACGCCGTTCCCACTAAATTCGAAGATTTACCGAATCCCATCATCCCCTACAATTGCCAAGCGCTCTTCCCGAAATAAGCCGTCTAAGCCACAACGTGGTGAGCTTTTACCTTCTTCGGACACGAACGACAAAAGATTGAACAACTCGTTTGCGCAAAGTGAAAATCGAAATTGTACAGAGCATCAAAATTGTACCGATTGTATTGAGAAGGAATACGCATATTACGAGAACAAAATCATGTCTACTTCAATGCCCCCAGAACGTCGCCAACAGATCATGAAGGCCAATAGATCTATTCGCAATATCAAGAATGTGAGTTGAACTCCTTCTCTTGGTCTTCCGATTATGCTAACAATTCGCAGGAGCTTGAGAATCTTCTTGAAGATGAACTCATTACTTACGAGGTGTATGAGCTTATGGTTAGCAAACTTCCCTCGGAAAACAGCTTGAACTCGACCTCTTCCCCCGCTCCTCGTGCCAACGTTGCCGCTCCAGCACCAGTCGTTCCCGTCGCCGCATTCTCACAATTGAATGTCAACGATAACCCTCCACCATCATACCAATCTACTCCAAACCTTCCTCCCCGCGGACCAACCCAACCACCTGCTCGACCAGAAGTCGGACGCGCCACCGCTCTTTACCGTTATACCGAACCTGAAGACTGCAACTTCGATGTTGGTGATATTATTATCATCTACGAATACATGAATGATGATTGGTGGATGGGAAAGAATGAAAAGACTGGAAGAGAGGGTGTATTCCCATCGAACTACGTCCAGAAGCATCAAAACCAGTCTCCCCAGGGCGCCTATTATGGCAACGAGAAGGCCACATACAACCCATATGGCTCTCAACAACAAGGAACCGTACCACCCGGACCAAGCAACCCTTACAATAGCTCCGTTCCCCCAATGGCTGTCGCAGAACAACCTACCGAAGAAAAGTCTAGCAAGGGTGGAGAGATGGGTAAGAAGTTTGGTAAGAAATTGGGCAATGCCGCTATCTTCGGCGCTGGAGCTACGATCGGTGGAAACATTGTTAACTCGATTTTCTAAATATTATGGTTGTCATACTTCTTGAAGTAAATATTCTCCGACGTCTACATAACAATTACTCGGGGGAAAAAAAAAGACAGACTTTTCCTATCTCCAAGTATCGATAGGGGTTTGAATTATTTACAGCTGGCTTCTTCACGCTGGAGGGCCACAATTTTCGAGTCGGGAGTTTTCTTATATTACGGCAATGCATGTTTTGATTACAGTGTTGCTCTTCTCGGTTTCATATACTCGGAGTTCTGGTAGGAATTGAATCCTTTTCTGTATTCGCGGTTTTTGCGCCATCTATGAAAGGACTACTGGACTTTCTTAATATTGTGTTTTGGGATTCACATACAGTTTTCCGGTTGTACCTAGAGATACCTGATTACTGAATAAAATGAATATTTCTTTTCAATGATGAACATCCCACCAACATATCATTATGATACGTGCATCGTGACAGTTTCTCCTTTAAAATATCAATGAGCCACATCACGTGTAGATAGCGGATAGATAACTGAATTAGAAGTTGGTCGACGTCACTGTCGCTGTTGCCCCGCATTGCATAGAAGTTAGTGTTTATCAATATCCCAACTATCCATGCTTTCATTCCTCCTCGTTCATCCTCTTTACACTGATCAACAATTCCAAAAGACGCATTATCACATCAAAACCCAAGTCCTCCGAACATAACCATAATGCAAGCTCAACATGGACATAGCGCAGCTTGCTGCAACATCCCACCTATTGTATCCAAGGGATATGAACAAAAGGGAAAATATGAGACCATTGGTGGTCTAAAAACTTGTAAGTATTCCATCCGTTTCAATTGAATGTCATCACAGATCTACTGCCATATCAATCAAATTATCTTGGCTATAAATCTTTCTTTGCATTGTCACCATACTCCTTTCCACCCCCCCTCTCCCCCCTCTCCCCCCTCTCAGCTCTGGCTAATACGACACTCTTCCAGACGTTACTGGCCCAGCAGATGCAACAAAGGCCATATTCCTTATCTATGATATTTTCGGCTACTATCCCCAAACCATTCAAGGCGCCGATATCCTCGCCAATGCCGACGAACACAACAAATACCTCGTTTTCATGCCAGACCTCTTTGAGGGAAACCCAGCTGATATTAGCTGGTATCCACCTGACAATGAAGAGAAGCAACAGAAGTTAGGTAATTTCTTCCAGACGACGGGAGCTCCACCAAAGGCTGCCGGAAGAGTTCCGGACTTAGTCAAGGCTATGGCAGAGAAATATTCGTCAATTTCAAAGTGGGCTGTTCTTGGGGTGAGCGATTTTCTGACTAAAGAGTTCTGTAATTCAGGATGAGGTTGAAGGTCTGTGAATTGAGGCTTTGTAGCTAATGTGTGTTCAAAACAGTTCTGTTGGGGCGGTAAAATTGTCTCCCTTACTACCTCTGCTTCTTCCAACCCTTTCGTGGTAGCTGCCGAGTGTCATCCCGCTATGGTTGATTCCAAGGATGCAAGTAACATCAAGATTCCTACTATTCTGCTAGCATCGAAAGATGAAGATGCAGAGGAAGTGAAGAAGTTTGAGGCAAATCTCACTGGGGAGAAATATGTTGAGACTTTCAAGGATCAAATTCATGGGTACGTTGTTTCTATGCTATGTGCAATTCCTTTGTGCTGATATTTGTGGGAATAGATGGATGGCTGCACGATCGGATCTTGAGGACGAGAGAGTCAAGAGCGAGTATGAGAGAGGATATAAGACGCTCATTGAGTTCTTCGAAAAACATCTCGAGTAGGAGCTCTCTTCTTGTCTTTTGCGACTGTTCAATCCGTCAAGAAAGTTCGCTGAGGTCTGTAGGGCCAATAAAAGTAGCAGAGCAAGACTTTGATATGGGTTCGGTGAATATTATTCCATAGTGCACTTTTTTTTTGTTTGCAAACAAATAAGCATTTTAAACACCTCGCATCGTAAGCACCAGTGGAGAATGTTTTGCCCGCTGCTAAAGTGACTGTGATCACTAGGCTCATAGCACCCAGCATTCATTGTGTTAATTCGCAACTATTAAACGATAGAGTTTTTTATAGGCTTGCTGACTTTGTGTGCATCATTATTGCGCAACAATCTATCTGAATCAGATTTTCTCCCATTCGGAAAGCCATGGATTGTAACCTTCACTCTTTGTGCCTATCCTCTGAAGAGTCGTGATTATACAGAGTTCCGTTGAACTTTCCCTCCCCCTCCACGACCGCCATTTAAGCAACAACACTTGGTTCAAAGTACACACAGCACATCCCCTCAATCCCCAAAGTTTTTGCCTCGCCCTTGAACCATTTATGTGCTTCGCATGAATCCTCGTAGTATTTCATATCCTCCAGACTCTTAAACTCAGTCTTTGCGACCACGGAGAAACCTTGGGTGCGGGGATCGTTGGCTTGAGATTCGCCAGCTTGTAGGGAGACGATATAGGGTGCTGAATCCTGAGAGAGAGTGTTAGTTAGGTACGAGGGGGAGAGAATGAAGAAGGTTGATTACCTTGACGGCCTTTTTCGACAAGGTCTCGTAGTTCTTGAGCATGGTGTCCCGGGATGCTTGGGAGGGCACTTTGAACATGGTTATGCGGATTATGCCTGCCATTTTTGCTGTGTATGGAATGAGTGATGTTTGAGGATTTCGAGGTGTGTGGGATGTGATGTTTTGATTAATCAATGATTTCAATTTGTAAATGGTAGAAAGGGAAAGAGAATTAGAGAAGTACTTGGCCGGATTGCTTTTATATATCAAAGAACTGGTGGAGGGGCACGAACTACCAAGCTACTAATGACTAGGTACTATGAATGTTCTGCACCAATTGATAACAGAACGGAGATTTGCGGCTTCAGCTGACGAATACAAAAGCAATATGCAATTGAATTCCTCCAAGCAGTGAAGCTGGGCTCAACATGGATAGCAATGCGCGCTTGTGCAACCCGAGGGTATCAGAGTGATGCTGAGCTGAGTAGTTGGTGGGGCTGTGGTATGCATGTGTAGGTACCTAGTCGTGGGAGCTTGGAGTGGTGGGTTCTGGTGAGGGATGGTGGGTCGAGAGGGGTTTGTGGGGACGGAAATGTTTCCGCGAGATAGGGATGTTATTTGAAGATTCGAGAGAGAGGTGGAGGATATAAAGAGGGGTATTGAATTTCGTTTTATTATGTTGTATAGATTGCTCATTTTCGCCTATAAAGTAGTACTCTTGCGAAAGTCACGCAAAGAGGGGTATTTAGAGCACCTTAAGCTTGTTCTCAGCCACCGATCAAAATCTCGAAGCTCATCAATGTCGATTTGATGAGACGCGCCGATGATGGATGTACACCAACACGTCGATAACGCGTATCGGATCAATTGATAGGTTATCGAGAATTCGTTCTTATCCATTCAAAAGTGTGCGATTTCAGACGAAGAAGCAATCTATTGGTGATGTGGACGTATTGGACATCCGAGTTTCTGCAAAACAAGGCTGTCTGCTGGTCTTTCAAGGTAGGATTTGGTGCAACCTCAGCCTCAGCGGAGATATAACTCAAGTGATACCCCGCAATGGCTCGCTGAAGGCGCTGGTGATTCTTGCGATTGTTGTTTCATTATTATCGCTGTGAGCCAAAACTTTCTACCTCATTTAGAAATAGCCCCTTATGGAAAGCCAACTTACAAATACGTCGGACGCGCTCGACGCAATCAAAGCCCTATACGACACGGGCAAATATGCAGATATGAAAATCCGCTGCGAAGAGAAAGTTTTTGATGTTCATCGCGCGGTAGTTTGCATCCGATCACCGGTGATTGCTGCAGCTATGGATGATGATCGTTGGGTATGTAACAGTCCAGATCAAGGTGATGTGCATTTTCTCACCAAACTCTAGGAAGAAGCTGCAAAGGGCGAATACCATATGAGTGACCAAGAGCTGCCAATTGTGGAGGCGATGATTAAGTATTTGTATTGTGGAAGTTATGATGATCAGGTAGCCTTGGGAAGTGACGCTTCGGATGATGCTTCGCAGGTTGAACCGCCCTCGAGTCCTCCCAAACAGCCGACCGATACAGTCGTGGATGTATGGGGCCAACGCCATGAAATAAGGCGGCCGGCTTTTGGAGGATTCGTACAGACGGTTCCTCAAGTTGCTCCCCTTACGAAACCATCATCATTACTCTTCAATGCTAAAGTGTACATTATCGCCGATAAATACATTATCCCAGCTCTTAAAAGCCTAGCACATGAGAAATTTAAAACAAGTTTGAGAGAACATTGGAATACTCCAGAGTTTACTGCTGCTACAGAGTTTCTTTGGGAAAATGCTCCTGGGTCTGTACTCAGTAGAGCCCTGGTTACAACTGCTGCGACTCATATTAATGTTTTGCTTGATAGAGGAGAGTTTGTGGAGTTCATGTCAGATTATGGAGAATTTGCTGTAGGGGTCATGAAGAAGATACATGGAAGAGATGACTCGGTTGTGAGTGGAAGCACTGTCCAATGGGCCAGGAATTCTGGAAAACATAAGGCGGTGATTATACCTAGACATATCGGGTATTAAATCTAGTTTTTTGACGAGTTGCACACAATTATGATTCATTGGGGTCAGTGGCAGTCATTTTTGTGTACGCCTGGATGAGCTATATCAAATATTCTTTTCAAAAATATTCATGTGACTTATGTATACAGAGTGGAAGAAGTAGTGTCTAAACCGATCGTTTCTGTAAACAACCTCTACGATCTTGAAATTCCACCAAGATTTCCAAGCCATTGACACATAAGCCACTGATTCAAGTTTGAGTCAACCTACAATCGAAGACAGTCACAATAAACACGTGACTTAGGCACCCATATACTTGCCGTCTCCTCGTCCATGACTTCTCCTCTACAACAAATTACACGAACACATTTTGATCAACGATATTCGACAATGGAAATGGCTGTGAGCGAATCCGACCGATCATTTTCTCGAGAGAGCTTTGCAAATACAGATAACGAAGAACATATGTTGATCGAAAATTTAATGGAGGGTACATCAATGTCACGTCCATCATCGGCACAGGGAAGTTTGGCACATGGAGAAGACGAGGAACGTAATCGTATGTTGAGCAATGAAAATGCAACGCTGGAGAGATTACAGTCGAATCTTTATAGGCAATCATTAGGGGAGGAGATCTTTCCAAAAGTACGGCGACAACGCAGTATCGGGATGGCGTGCAAGTATTGTGTATTATGTCAAGCCCAATTCCCCCCTTTCTTCTCAGAAAATTCAGGTATTGAGACTTTATGGCGATGGCGACAAAGACGACAAGTACAACCATGGGAATACAAATTCCGTGCCGGTAAGTAAGCTGTTTGAAGAGTATATTTTTCAAGTTTATTGATGGATGTTGACACCAACTTTAGTCATTGAAATAAATAGAGATGAAGAAGAAGAAGAAGATATTAAGATAACGGGAGTGATGACTTTTTCAGAAGGTGCTAGTCAAGATGAGCTTGTCGCATCGACACCTTCTTCATCGACCAAGATTCTCTTAAACACAGTTCAAAATCCAGATTACCCATCTTGGTGTAAAGCTTTCTGCTTTCATGATTGGTGTTATTCGATTCTTCGTTGGAGGCTGGGAAAGTATAAAGATGCTACTTTACATAAAGTTTGCCAAAGTCTTTCAATCTCCCCAGCGTGGGAGAATATCGCAGAATCCGAAGCTTGTTTGTATGACCAGGCTGTCATAAATGACATGTTATCAGATATGACCGAGCTTGGTCCAAAGTACCAACCTTTATTCTTGTCGAAGCTACCCCAAGAGTTGAGAGCACTTATCTGGGGATATGTCGGTCCATCATCTGCTTATACCTCGTTTCTGATTGTGGCCGGCGAGACATCACGTTTGTTCTACCAAATGCATCGTCCAGCAAATCTTACTTTGGCATTATACCCAGAATCACGTCTTGTTCCGAAAATGATTAAGATCTTCGGTACTGATTATATACAGAGCTTTTGTGCTGAGTCAACCACAATTCCAATCACCGACTCAGCAGTTGCTTGCTCCTACAAGCTCGCAATAGGCACTCATGGTATATGTGCAATCCAAATAATCAGTGCGGATGGATCTTTTTGTTGGGTTGGTAAAGTCCCTAAATCTGGTCTTGTTTGGTATGTCAACGCCCAACGAGAATTCCGCAGAGACATCGAGCTCCATTACACTTTCAAAGTTAGTATCTTACTACTCAAAAACTCGATAAAACAACTAAATCTGGCAGGGTCTCAATATAGATGTACGCCAAAGGCAAAGGTTCTACGGCGGTATCTGGGACAGAGTTAATTCACCTAAATGGTCTCAGGAAGAGTCTTCCTTGATTTATATTCGTCGGGATGGGTATGGCTTATACAGATATATCCCATTCTATAGGGGATACGAATATACTACAGGAATAACGTTTCACTTTCACAAGGGATTTATTACTGGAGTGGAAGCCTATTATGGGGAAAAAACGGAGCTCACGGGAGTTTACAGTGGTGTGGCTCTTCACCTACCCCTGGAGTACAATGAACGCATATCTTTTGTATGGATTAAGCTTGGGGAAGATAGATTTCAGCGCCATTACAAACCAGCATTGATTGTTAGTTCTAAAATAGCTTCCCTCCTGGTACTTAACAGCTTACACCACTTTAGATTCAAACCACACATGGAAGGACATGCCATCTGGGGCCGTATATACCTCATGACGAGTATGAATTCTACGAGTGGTATCGTTTAACATTTGAAGGACAGATCACGGGGATTTGTGTTCAGAATTCTGACTGGACCTTGAAGAACTTCAACATTATCAGTGATGGAAATGAAGTAAAGCCTGTACAACCACTACTTCACTACGAGACACCAAGACAACGACCTCCAATATACCAATATAGTAACCTTGGTCTTTATTTTAGTTCTGGAAAGTTTTCCCAAATGAAGAGAGTGACTTTATGTAGGATTAATGAACGCTGCGTGGGAATCCTAATACATTACCTATACAAACCGCCTGTAGTTTTGGGGCAATGGTATAAACCAGAAGTATCAATTCATCAGATCATATACGATAGGAGCCATCCACCGCCTTCGAGAATAATGTTCCGATCGGCACGGTTCGAAAACTCCGAAGAAGGGTTTGTGGTAGATGTCAGTTTCACACAGGAAGAATTTTCACCTGTTGATACGAATGATCAAGTACAGGTATTTGATCTTGCCCTTGAAGAGGTTCGAAATCCACAACGTAATAGTTTCTTAACGAACATTACTGACGGTTTATAGCATATTGCCTGGTGGTTCACAGACTCCACGGATCTTATTAGCCTCTGGAATCCAGGTGGCCAGTCTGCAAATGGTATACAAATGAAGGAGGTCATTTGTCGGGATTATGAAAAGTAGTATAGCATAATCCAAAACGTAACTGGAACACAAATATCATAGAAAATGAAATTCCAATCTATAAGAGCATAATCTTCTGGCTCCAGAATTTTCCGTTTCAATCTCATACTATAGCCCTGAGATCGATTTTGTATGACATTGCCAAGTCGTCTCTTCTCGTAATGTCACCTCTTCACAGCACTGTTGCTGGACCTCAATCCCCAATGTAATAATTTCGACTAACAATGCATGATTCAAATAAGCAACGCATTTTCTGCGAGCGCTCATGTCAAACGCAGTTTGAACCAGAAGTATGATTCTTGAAGATGGCTATTTGTATTCGATCAGGATCAAAGTCGAATCACATAAGCTATCTGAATTACAGCTGAGTGTCTTCGTACTCGACCAGCGAATTTTGATTGCATGAGTAACACTTGATTACTAGCATGAATTGTGTACAGCCTGACTCACCAAATTTGGGCTGGAGGGAAGAGGATGAATTGTTGTTGACGCTGTATTATCGTGTCTTTAGGCTTGTGTATTCAATTTCCTGGGTCAATCGACCGCTGGCTACGGAAATGGATATTGATTCAAGCCGATGTTAGCAATGGCAGTAGGTAGGACTTTGTTTGGTATCGTGATATGCAGTAACTAAATCAATAACTCTAGAATTCTCTTCATCAACCAATAGAAGGAAGATATCACTATCTGATATAGAATGGTTGGTTGACGTTTATTGTACCCAAGTATGCGGGGGTGATGTAGCCGCGCGCTATCGATTAAGGTTGCCCTGCAGAAGCTGACAAACCGTACGACACTATGTTCATTAAATTCTATCGATCAATCAACAATGGATAGGTAATTCCACCAGTGGGTGCACGGACTCACGGGACACTAAAGGGGGAAAGCACAATTTCACACCAAAAAGAGCGATTTTAATAATTTAATTAAAATTGAAATTGCTGTTCAATTTGATTGAAATTGAAATATATAGTTTTCAAGCATGAAGTTTCTATATAGAATAAATTTTGAACTAAAATGATCAAGATTGAAGTCTTGGTAATAGAATATATAATCTCCCACCAAAAATTTTGGTGGGAAAACGCACCATTGAATTTTTGAGCTCAAATTTCACTTTTTTGAAACAAGTTTCAAGAGAACTATTCTTTAATGCTTGAAAAACATATTGTATCAATTTGAATAAAATTCAATCGAAATTTGAATTTTAATTGAATTATTAAAGTCACTCTTTTTGGTATGAAATTGTGCTTTGCTGTCACGTTGTCCCGTGAGTCCGTGCACCCACTGGTGTTCTATGGATATACCTGTCAACATGTCGAACAAGCAAATTGACAGTCCAGCTATTGTCGACGGTTCAGCGATGGAAGGGGACAATAATCATGGCATGACCCCGCAAAGTTCGATCGCAGTGGTCGGGGAATCACGCGATGATAACGAGATGGTGAATTCTGATTTCGTCACCACGTACGATGAAGTCGATTTACCTGCCGAGAATGTAAGTCGGGCACCCTACTTTCGGGTCACCCCTGTTTTGTGCCACCCTTTCACACCAAAAATTACTTTTTGAGCCTATTAATATCTCTATCAATATATAATATAATTCAATGAAAATTTATATATAAATAATTTAGATCGTTTTAAACTTATTCTGAAATTCTTAAATATTTAGGACTATTCTGAATTGAAAACTAAAAGTTCAAAATATCGATTTTCAAATTTGTATAAGAATCACATACAAATTTAGAATTTTTATAAAACTTTCAATAACTTTTTAACAACAATTATTAAAAAAAAACTATATATCTTTTTAAAAGATTTGAACTTAAATCTATATAGAAATTTTAAAAAAAAATAAGAAAAATTAATAAATATAAAGATATAATATACAGTAAGTTTAGAATAGTATAAATAATCCCTGTCATTTTTAAGATACCCCTATAAATATTTATTTATAAGAAATTTTCTATTTTTTCTGAATCTCTTATATTAAACATACTATAAATTTATAATAAAATTTTATAGTTTACTTTTAGCAATTTTTATTAAAAAGTTATTAAAAATTTTATAAAAAATTTAAATTTGTATATAATTCCTATATAAATTTAGAAATCAGTATTTTGAAGCTCTAGTTTTCAATACAGAAAAATCCTAAAAATCTAAAAATTTCAGAATAAGCTTAAATCAATTCAAATTATATATATACAAATTTTCATTGAATTCTATCCATAAATAAGAAAGTTAAAAATTCCATTTTTGATATATTTTGGGTATAAAAAGTGGCCCAAAAGGAGGGTGGCCAGAAAGTGGGGTATCCGACTTAGTTGATGAAAGAGAAGAGGGACCCGAGAGCCATGATTCCGAACATGGGATGTCGGGTAGCCAAAACGAAGATGAACAGGAAAAAGAGAACGAAGGAGCATCTATTCCACTTGCTTATGCCCAGGCGAGTGATACTGTATACTCTGTCGAGCTCGACTTTTTCCTTTTTACTTCATAAATGAGCCAAACCGCCGACGATATCAAGAATGGCTTTCCGAAAATCCAGCCGAGCAATGGCAGCTGAAAACACGCGCAGGTATGTTGTCTGTCAAACATGTTGATACTGCAGCACTGACATCTGTTTTAGTCATGAATCTCCGATTGGATGATCATGAGAGTCCTGTCATGACAAAAGTTTTCATGTTTGATTCTCTAGCAGTCGACACATCTTTAATTGGTCATCCTGTATCTAAGAGAATTGTTCTGGACCCCCATCCAGATCTAGATGATTATGTAGACACATTTGCTTATTGTTTTCACGATTGGTGCTATTCAGTTTTGAGTTGGAAAACAAAGCAAAATAGTGCCAAATTTTTGTTTGAATTGGGTAGAAGCCTCAATATTTCGACTGTTTGGGAGAAACCTGCTGAATGGAACGGTCCACTCTACCCACAAATCGACACTGATGCCTTACTATCTAAAGCTGACGATGGATCCGCAAGGCTTCAGCCATTATTTCTCTCAAGACTCCCTGCTGAACTACGTTCTCGAATTTGGAGTTATGTTGGATCCGAAGCAGCTTATTCTGCATTTTTGTTAGTGGTTGGGGAGACATCGCATTTAGCACAGCAGATCTCACAACCAACTACACAGCTACTCCCTATCGAATCAAATTGTTATGTTAGAGCAGATTTTAATGAAGTTTACGGCACAGAATACATCCGAGACCTAGCCCAAGATACGACATCCAGTGGTGGAATTGAGATTCTACAAACCGTGACCGAGATCGATATTGTTTTCAGTGTATACGGCATCTGCGCCATCAGATTTTCGGGATCTAGTTGGACGTCTGAGTGGCTGGGCAGGATCCCTCAAACTGGCCGTTCCTGGTACGGCACAATCCAGGTAGACAACACCAACTTATTGGTATACTCCCATAATGTAAGATTCCTTGATTTTTCATCTCCGGACGAGGTCTAACACGTCCAGGGGTTGTGTGTATCCAACATAGTAGATTCATTTAAATCAAACAGAGTTCAGGTCGTGTGGGATCAGCCAAACTATCCTCCGGCAATGTTTGATGCCGATGCCGCGTTGTTCTCGCTGCATGAACCTGAGCAATTGTATCGAAAGCGACTGCCAGAACTGGGATTTTTTAGCTTTATTTCATTGACCAGTCATGGAGAATATATCTCCGGGCTCACCATGTATTTCATGTCTCAGTGTATCGTGGGTATCGAATCACATTTCTCATCAGGCTCACACTTCGTAGGCAGTCGTGGTGAAGTAGCAGTACATATGTCACTCGCCCCAGGTGAACTTATTAGCGACGTTTGGTTACGTCTCTACGTGGACTTGCCTGTTGAATCTGTTCCCGCCGTATTGGTTCGTGGATTTCCAACTTTTGACAACTTTTGCCAACTTTTGTTTATAATTTCTAGATACAAACGACGTTAGGAAGGGAGTGCACCTTTGGCCCATATGTCACCCCAGATAATTATGATCAGTATCACTGGGCTATGCTGCAATATGACGGCCGCATCAGTGGATTTTATCACGAAAACGCGCCTGGAATAAAGAGAATAGGTGTCATTGGCGACGACAAGAAAATGTCAAGAGCTGAAATCCAGCTTCCACGATATGAGACTCGTGTCCCGCTAAGGCTTGATGTTCTTGGTGCCCGGGAGTTTGACCATTGCGTTTGTATTCGATTCTGCAAACAGACGAGGCTCAGTCATTTGGGCTTATTAAGTGCGAAAGGCTCACAATAAGTGGAGGGATCATGTTTTTAATCAAAAAGGTAAAGGTTCTGATATTTCCAAAAATCGGTTAACACAATTACAGATTTATAGCTAACATTCAACTCCACCCCCGCCACCCCCTCTACCCCAAAATCCCAATCATCACCCTCAAAACTCTCTCAGGCACATGGACCAACTATCTCTACTCAAACCCAGACCCCACTAATCTCTTAATCATCGCCCCTCTCCACACATCCAGCACCATCTGTTACCCCACACCCATTCCTCCTCGCAAACCCCCGGATTCACAGCCCCATATTCTCTCCCATGTAAAATCCTAAAATTATCCCATAAATAAACTTGCCCAGGCTCCATCAAAATTTTCACCGCATGAGAGTTTCTCCTCCCAATCTTCTGGAAATTTTGATATACAGCGCGTGCTTTGGAATACTCGTCGTAGGAACAGAGTTGTGAGGAAGTGTTTTGGGGATTGAAATGGGTTGAAGGAGAGATAGAGAAGGAGGTGCGGGATTCTTCTACGAGAGTGGAGAAGATGGCGGTACGGGATACGAAGATGTGGGTGCTTTCGGTCGTGGGTGCGGTGCAGGCCTGAATGCGGGGGGATGGAGGTGCTGAAAGGAGAAGGTATGGGGTAGTTGTACTTCGTTTTCGCTTGGATTTTTGTAAGGGTCGTGTAGATCGGTTGTTTCGTTTGTGGAATTTTGAGGTGCTGCGAAGGTACTGCCGAATATCTTTCTCATAACTTTTCCTATCAAATTTTCCTTCTTGTTACCACTCCCACCTTCAAATTTGGGAATATCAGAAATCCTGACGATCCCCGGTCCAGAATCCATCAATAACGCATCATAAACTCTCATTTTTCCCTCCTCATTATGGAAATCCCCTCATCTAAACCCCGACATCTCAAACCTATAGGGTAAAAGGGTTTTGGTATTCATGGGATCTAGATCTGATGGGAAAAGATGTTGCTTATAATGTTAATTCTTTCCATTGTGAGTGCGTTTTCCAGACTTGGAATCATGGTTCTGAGACTCTTATTCCGTCAGAAGTACTGCATGGTGTCATAAGTCCCATTGCTATGGGTTTCTGATATCACAATTTAGTCACAGGTCTGACCTAAAGACAGATGGTGTCACGAACTATCCTCTCAAAGATGTGAATCTTTATGAAACTCGAATATTCTACTGTACAAACAAAGAGAATATGGTATATGTTAGAATAGAAGTAGAAGATGCGTTTCGTTCCCTCTCCCTTTAAATTGAAGCGCTCATGATACGATATCCGACAATAACGAGATTTTCATATACGAAGCTTCAAACAACAGTTATACTTATACAAAGAACAGCCGCGCATCTTATCCCCCAAAAGATTTATGCAAGAGCAGTTGGACATCCCAAATTTCCAAACGAAGGATCCAATTTTTTCATAACAAATTCAAGTGTGCTGATAGAGGGAGTAAAAACACTATTCAACGAAGAAGGAACATTTTGAGTAGCAAGTTGATAAAGCAAGCAAGAAGCCTCTAAAGAACCAGGCGTTGCAATCAATGTTCCGTTTTTGATGGAACCAAAATTGATGAGATCAAAGCCACCATTTCCGGTAGCACCACCGAACAAAACTGGTTCCTGGAGATACAGAGCAAGGATCTCATTTGCGGCGTCGGTATGGGAATATGGGGTGACACGGTTTGTCCAGTTATCTGGGATTCTTTCCTCGCCCGTGAAAGAATATGAACCATCTGAATCCTGCTTGGCACCGAAGAATGAAGAAATTGTATCATAGTCTGGCGTGTAATTTTTTGTTCCAGATGGCATCAACTCGTACAAGAAAGAGGCAGCACCGAAGAGGAGCAGAGCAGTGGGACCGAAATAGAAATATGGGTTGTCTTTGAGAGATTGTTGGTAACGCTGTGCTCGGTATTTAGCAAGTCCGTCACGATTGTAATCTCCACTGGTAGTTTCCGTCATCATTCCAAAAAGTGTTCCATTAAATGAATAATTATCACCATCGGCAAGGAAATGATCGTTGCGTGTGAGGGATGTATCAGCCTCGAACTTGTTGTGTGCATTCAAGCCCGGTTCTGAACCATGAGTAGCTGGTAGGAAATACGTTCTTGAGGTGGCATCGCACCCGATGGAAAGTTTCTCAGTTACGATATCGCCATCGGTCAATGTAAGGCTGAGAACAGCAAGAAGGTTGGCCAATTCATAGCCAACGTTGTACAAATTTTGTTGAGCATCAACAAGTTCATTATATGTTGTAATGCCATCTCGAGCAAGAAAATTGTGATTGGCGGCCGCATTCAATCCTGGACAAGGCCCACGAATATCGGTCGATTTTGGAGCGATGAATTGATGATCAGTGTCCCCAGGAGCTGGAACCTGATAGCCTCCTTTTCCTTTACCTGGAAGGCCATTCTTAGCACCGTTATATGGGTAAGCATCTGAAATACCCGGAGCATTGACGTGATTTGCATTGAATGGACAAGAAGTAGTTCCTTGTTGCTGCTGTTGTTGTCTATGTAATAGACTAGAGTCGACACCAGGCATTTTAGCAACAAACGGGAAAGGTGTAACAGCTCCAACCATTAGGGTCGCTGCAATAAAAGAATACTGCATCGTGAAATATGTGTAATGTGTTATGTCTGAATCCAAAGATTGCTTGGTGTCGTGACGGATGAATGCAATGATGATGAAGGAAGGATGACGAGGAAGTGTTGAGATGTAGAGTAATTCGCCTACCAGCTAAATGCCCTGGCAAACTAACGGCTGAACCTATACCGAGATTATTCTGGCCGAACTCTTCCCTCAGGGGCATCCAAAATCTAATTGGCGTTATCGAGATCAATCAAGACTACAGGCAGGTTTAGGATTTGAAAACCGGTGAAAAATAAATCGTTCAGCTGATAGGTGAAACCAATATATACAAGTCTTCTCATTAAGGAAATCATTCCTTTTTCTTCGCGCTCTTTACCATGAGATCACCAGTGGGTGCACGGACTCACGGGACACTCAAGAAGGAAAGCACAATTTCACATCAAAAAGAGCGATTTTAATAATCTAATTAAAATTGAAATTACCACTGAATTTACTTGAAATTTATATAAATGGTTTTCAAGTATAAAGATTTTATATGAAATAAATTTTAAATCAAAAGAATCAAAATTGAAATTTTGATAATAGAATATACATTCCCCCACCAAATTTTTTAATAAGAAAATGTACTATTGAATTTTTGAGCTCAAATCTGGTTCTTTTGACACAAACTTCAAACAAACTATTCTTTAATGCTTGAAAAACACAATATATCAATTTGGATAAAATTAATCCAAAATTCGAATTTAAATTGAATTATTAAAATCACTCTTTTTGATATAAAGTTGTGCTTTGCTGTCTATTCGTAGGAGAAAAAACAGGCCGGTATTGACCAATGCGCAATGGTACGTGCACCCTCACCAAAACAACGCGTAGAGAGAGGTATTACGCATTGGTCAATTTCGGCCTGTTTTTTCTCCTACGAATAGGCTGTCACATTGTCCCGTGAGTCCGTGCACCCACTGGTGGATCTTTTGCTGAGGAGGATGCTTTGTCAGCAAAATTTCTACAGACCAATTGACTATTGAATGATCAACAGCGGTATCTTGAGTCATATATTCATCGGAAATTCAAATCTAGTATCATTCAATTTATCACAATGAAAATCATGGGGAAGATATACTATACCACCACTGTATGACATGCCCCTCTTTGTTAGACATACCAATGAATCCAGCTCCGATTTCAACCTGCTCATTCCGTGCTCCAGATGCCACAGTAAGCAGCAACTAAACTCGACACTAGTGAGGTAGCAAATCATCTTCTCCTTCAGCTTCACAATAATTATTTTTCGGTCCGTCGAGAGACACTGTACTCATAGATGGGGGCCTAGCCTTCTATCAGTCCTTCTACCCCGCGTTGTTCTGCTCGATGCTGCAGAGCAAAAATAATGGGATTAGAATTAGCAAACGAGTGATGATTCGATAAGAGCAATTTCAAGGCAATTCCGTATCTTGTCTTCAAACTCATGAGACTAAATATGAGCCCGCTGGTACCCTCGACTCAAACCACTAAGTCTGAGTGCATAGCATAGCAATAAAAGGGCTTCTGTCGGAGTGTTCCGGAATTTTGAGGTCCACAATCGAATTGAAGGTCGAGGTAGAAAAGAGATCGAGACTTTTTACGATCTTTCTTGACTCTCCCTATAATTTGAGTTTGTAAATAAGCTTGTTCGGTCAGCGGCAGCGATCGACAATTAACAGATTGCAACGGAGTGATCGTCTATGTCTGGCGCCAACGTCAATATAATAATAGGTGAAACACCAATTCGAATCATTGATCCGAGGACCTAGATGTGAGGATGTATGTTTTGATTGAGACAGTCGATTTAAAATTAGTTGCCACGAGTGATGTCTTTGCGGTAGAAGAAAAAACTTGGAGGATTGAAAACTTCGTAGTTAGCAAAATAGAGCGCGCCCAATTAATCATTCTGGCAGAAAGAGAAAGAGTCTTCTGTTGCCAGACAGCATTCGGAATCCCAAGACACCTTTCAAGAACAAAAGAATATTCTCGAATCGAGTACAGTTTTGACGATTGCCTTGTGTTGGATAACCAGTGAAAGATGTGATGTATCGGCATTGAGAGCGAACAAACGAATGCTTTCCCGGCCAGTATCGATTATCCGGTAAAAGAGTGTTATTATCGAATCCATGGCAAAGAGCTAGGCGTGTATCTAGTGGATACTGCCTAGATTAGCTAGCGAGGTTGCGGGACAGTGGTCTAGCGCCGATAGATTCACACCATCATATTCAATTGCTAGAAAGCTCTGTCTCTGGGAGTATACCACAAAGACAAATTCTAAGTTTGATTCCCTTGTAGAATGTTGAGATGTGTTTCTACTCAACAACTGCGGTCCGTTATCTCGAAATAATGAGAGAACTGTGACAATATTCCTAGTGCTGTTTATGTTGACACACACAAGTACTTCTCATGAAAGTCGTTGCTACACATCGTTCGAGGGTAAGTGCACCACGAAATAACCAGAAGGTCACAGTTCACGTAAGAACAGCTGATGAAATTATATCTTTTGTAATGCTATGCATTCTCCCGACACCTCATTCGAATTCAAATAATGCAGGTGAGCAACAGTGTTTCAGGAAAATGGTTACTTCGAGATTTTCCCTGATCGATCTCAAAGAATCATGATGACCGATGGATTTACTTGAAGCAAAGTATTGTTTGAGGAAATTTCGAAGGATGAAGAATTCTTGAAGCAAAGGAAGAATGAGGACAGAGGAGATGGGATTCACTGATCGGCAGTTGAGAGAGTTTGAGGAGCAGAGTTGCCTTCGTTCCTTCCTTCTCCATAATCCGAGTGCCTTCTCCATTCCACGCGCAACGTCTTATCTGTACGATTCCAACTACTTAAGAAGCATGCAAAATTACGACCTCTGATTCTCAAGCCCGCACCATAACATCTGAAATACCAATTTCTTATTTGAGCTATCAAAAACAAACGAACCTGAACATCGCAATCAACAATTATCATCATGTCAAAACGTCGATTTTCTAACGCCAGTAGCGATACTTTGGTCCTCGAAGGTGAAGCTCGTAGCAGTCGCCTTCGCACTGTAAGTCCTCAAAGAACACGAGTTATTGTCAATTTTGATGACCAACCTTCGACCAAACTCATCGTACCTGTCACTTCAGCTACTACTATCAATGATTTACAGAGCTTAATCTTCAATCATGCTGAGAGAATCCAACTCAAGCTCCCTGAGGATAGAATAGTACTCCGTCTTGAAGGTGAAGATGGCCCCATCACATTCTCAGAAGATACCATTGAAGATATCTTCGGGGATGCAGACCCAAAATTAATTTGGGTCACAGCGGCTCCCAAAGTTGCTGATCGTGGCGCCGAGTTTATCTACGTACGATGGATCACACTAGGAAGAGCGCTTGATCATGTCTCGCTATCCGATATCGAGACAGATGAGGAGCCATTAACTCGTGGAATGACGGTGAATGAGATCATAGCTGTTGCAAAGAATCGCGTCTTTGGAGCTGCAGGAGATGAGGTGACTCCAGCACCAGGCTTCAACATCGGTTTGTGGTTCAATAAGGCGTGTGAAGATACTTCAGTATGGGCATTAGGGACCGATACACCCGAAAAACTCGGTTTGACTGGCAGTCTTGAGAATCCATTGGATATTTTCCTAGTCTTGATCAACGAAGGTAAACTTCCTAACCTATCATGCAGTATGAAGAGGCAATCTATCTCTTTCAAAGTTCCATCCTATTAATAAGATCGATTTAACACAATACAGACAATCAAAATCCGAATCTTCGATATGGATTCCGTTGCTCACTTCGAAGCATGGCTACATTTGAAACATGCCTCAAGGTGCTGATATCAGCAGCAAGTTTCCGTCCATACTTGATTCCCCGTCTACTACAGCGCATGATACTGGTCACGAATATTGGCGAGGCTAAGAATTGCCTTGAGAGCTCTCTGAAGATGATGGCAGTTCCGGAAGCAAAAAAGACCATCTTGGCAAACTGTTTCCGTGAAATTGCGCTTAGGATGGTTCCTGGTGTCTTTATCGGACATAAAATCGAGTCGGTCCTTGAGGGCTCCAGGCAAATATTTGCTTGGATGTTCAGCGATATACTCGAAGAGGATGTGAGTTGTACCACTTTAGTTCAGATATCTCGATGTTTTATATCATTTCAAAGGGTAAAGAGTCCAATTATTTGTACCTGTGGAGTCAAGGGAAACGTTCAAATGAAATTAGTGTTCTGATAATTTGGAATCTCTCGAAGCATATAACCCTTTGAAATCATTCAAAGTCCCAAGCTGCTTTAAGTTCTCGATATACTTTTTCCTCTCATTAATAGAGAGAACAACTGCTGAAACAGATTATTTTAGTTCAAACCTGTCAAAGGGAAACGCATGCCAATCCCTGCGACCGACGACTTCCGGAAAATCATCAATGTTTGTAACAGTTCTCAACATTTTCGGATGCTATCGCCCCTCCAGTTAGACGGAAGAGAGAATTCGGGTATCTCGTTGTCTAAGGCGGGATATGTTTCGCAATATACTCAAAATTCTGATGAAATTTCGCAGCCGAGACTCGAAAATGTGGTCACAGGCTTCGAAACTTTACAATCAAGACCGGGACAGAGTCTCCTTCAAGCTCTGCAATCAGTAATTTCACAAAGAATAATGGAGGGTACGTGGGAGATTGACGATTGGGAGCGGATCGAATCAAGCTCATCGGCCACGAACCCTGGACCTGATGAAGCAATCGTTATTTGTTTGGACAAGAGCATCAGCATGCAAGCTTCACTCGGAAATGATTGGATTGGAAATGGTCAAATTAATACGCTCAACCGATTCGACGAAGCCAAGCAAGTTTTTCGAAATGTGGTCTCACGATTGTCTGCTTATCACTTGAACGTCCATGTAGGTCTAGTTACATTCGGGTCAAAAGCAGAGCAGGAAGCTCAAATTTCTCCTATCAGCAAAGAATTCAAGAATAAACTAGAAAACACTCAGGCAACTGACCACAGGACATCGCTGTTCGATGTCTTACACGTCGCCCATTCTAAGCTCGTTTCTCACCAAGAGCAGTATCCTAAATCCGAAATGAAGCTTCGCATCATCGCATTAACCGATGGCGAGGATAACAATTCCATTTCAACTGCTGAAGAGATTCGTGCGATGTTTTACGAAGATGATATTGTCCTTGATTCAATCGTCATAGGTGGCTCCTCGTCTGAGGATCTTTTCAAGATATCAAAGTATACGGGCGGCTATGCCTTCAAACCAACATCACGAATGCTTTTGTTCCAGACTTTCCTCCTCGAGCCATTCCTGGATATACTTGCTAGACCAGATATTGTCAAAATCCCACTTGATGACTATGAATCATCGCTGCCAAAAGAGGCTGACATGAAAACAATTCATGACTTTCCGCCTTGTCGTCCACATCAATTACAGGATGGTGGGTTTGTCTCGCTTGACGCAGCAACACGCCAATTGGCTGGAAACTCGTCTTCGCTTCTTGAAACTTCCCGCATGTCGGCTTCTGCTGAACCTGCCAATAGATCGACAGGACGACTATTTCTTGACGAGATGAGACTCATGATTGCAAATCCTCATGCATCGATGGATGTTTATGTCAGTGAAGTAGATATGGCTTTCTGGAAGATTGTAATGTCAGGACCAGCATCCACAGCCTATTCCGAAGGCACTTTTTCCTTGTTTATTCATATGACAGATACATGTCCCCAAAAGGCACCGGCCGTCCGCTTCATCACACCAGTACTTCATCCAAATGTATCCAAGGTAACCTCACTACCCCATCCATTAATATGTAGTGTATCACAACTGACGATGAAAAAGTATGGTAGGATATGTCACGAAATTTTTGATGATGGATGGAAGTCAAGCTTTCACATTCACGACATCTTGAAGGCTATCTTCACTCTATTCGAGAATCCAAAAGCTAGTTGCGATGCTGCTATTGATGAGCTAGCAACACTGAAGTTCTGGACCGACCGGGCGACAGCTGATGCGGAAATCAAGAAATATGTAAGCGTTAAGAAACTAGGTACAGGAAGCATGAAATGCTAATTCATAACAGGTCACCAGATTTGCCACACGTACTAGAGTTCAATGGAAGAGAGAAATGGAATCGAAAGGTTGAAATTTGACAATCATTAAGTTACATGGGATACTGTTATCGGAATATGAGGACATTTTGCACATTCTATGGACAGGTGAATCTGGTTACAATATTAGGGGTAACAAAAATGGAAATAGTTGCAGCAATATCTTGCTAGTTATGAAGTAATGAAAATGGCAATCTGCTTTTAGATAGTCTCATCTGTGACTATTGAGATCGCCGAATAGCTTGAGCTACAAATAGTTTGATATTCAAAGCCGAGCAAGAGATAAGTACGCTGGTCTTAAAAGCAGTTTTGTTATCTTTTGATCTAGACTTGTATTTGCGTTTGAGACGGTGCATAGTGACTCGAGAATAAACCTTGCTGGAATGAACACCGAAAAGAAATTGAGAGTAGAGAATGGACTACCCGATCTTCTATCAGTCTGTATATGGGGGGAGGGGTTCTGTCTCCATTAGGGCATGGTATATGAGAAATTATCAGCACCAATACGTGATTGAAGTGAAGTAACGTTCGCGGCAAATGCGAAGAATAGTATCGGGGTGCATCTCGCTACTCCGAATGACCTGCGAAAACTCTCTTCTTCTAGCTCTTGAACTTGACGGTAGTGGATTTACCGGTTTCCGCTTCAAAATCGGGAGTGTAGCATACTCGAACGAGTCGACGGTCTAGGTATGTTTTCATAGCGTTACACATTATAGATATGAAAAGTGTGCCGATTGCACAAGAACTTGGATACGATCAAACAAATATGTGTAGCGTGAATATATACTTGCATCTTGTATATTTTATCAAAATGCTATATCTGATTGGGATCTATATATACTCCGCTCTGTCAATACTCGAAGCAGTTTCGTGATTGGGTGTAGTTCTATAGAAGTTCTTTCGTACCCTTTAAGCTAGAAAAGAGGTTTGAGTGCCATCTAAGGATAACGTGGGTTCTGTGTCTGACCCAGGAGTACCTTCTCTGTTGTAAATCTTACTTGGTATCTTCAGTCAATCGGCAACCCAAAACTCATTTAGGAGAAATGCTTTCCACCCTGCTCAGTGGCCATAAATCGTCTAAGCCCTCTCGATTCCATTCCCAAGAACCCCCTCATCAGGACATCTCATCTCACTTCCCACCCTGCACCAATCCCAAATAAACATTCCAGCCGATCCCCGCCAAACTCCCCAACAAAGCCCGGCCCTGGACACTCTTGATCACGGCAAAATTGCTCAGACTAATAAATGGCCATAGCTTCCATCCTGCTTTCATCATACCCCAGTATTCGGATTCTGCAGACTGGATAGCTTGTGGAAGAGTGGCTCCGCGGAAGAGGGAAAAGGTTATGAGGAATAGCATTACGTTGAGGACTGCGAGGAGGGTTTGATCGATGAGCACTTTTAGAATGGTATTGGTGACTGAGAGAGCTGGTTTGGACTGTGCGGCTTTCTTTTCAGAGACATTTCGTGGGGAAGATTGTTTCTTGGAGGGGAGAAGAGATTCGAGGAGGATTGTCTGGAAGGCGTATTGTCAGTAACCGTGGTGTATTTTTGGGGTGAGAGGAGGTGCTCGCGATAGATGGAACTCACAAGTAGAAATTTGGCGGAGCGCTCAGCGCACCGTATAAGACGAATTGAATTACCGGTGTCCAGTTTATCGTGAAATCAGTCTGTATACTTGTTAGTTTGTGGTTCAATAAGGTGTAATATAAAGAAATGGAGGGGTCATACATTGCTCTGGTATGCCGAGATAAATTGTGCGATAATATTGCTGATCCCCGATAAGACACAGGATTGAACCGTGGTATTTACGACGGCTGAAGGCATCTTTGATTTCGTCTCGCTGATGTGTGATTGAGATGTGGCAGGAAGTTGGAAATCTTTTCCTCGATATTAATTGTTTTGATGTTCAGCTCTAGTAACCTGGTGGCGTATTGTGTCGCGTTGTAACCTACTTGTTTGGTGGGGTGTTTTCTTCCGACTACTACCACAATCATTTCCCAATGTCAACAGATTTCAAAGTGTTGAGTCTATGATTTCGATTTATTGAGTCTGTGGTCTCGAATCATCGAGTCTTTGATCTCGATTCATTGACTGTCTTGCCATCTTACAGCGACAAGCCAGAGCATTGTAAGCTTTTTAATGATAGAAGGCGGAGGGGAAGGAAGGTCGTCGAGACCTCAGAACTTGACATAAGACCTACTATTGCCGCAATGATCATGGCGACATGATTGTCCTGAGAATTTCATGGTGTTAACTGAACTACCAAGTGGCTTCGTTATACATTGAAAGACCTTGAAGAAAAGGTGGCTCCTATTGAAGCTGGTTATGTAGTCGAGAATATATATAATGATTGATGTGGTCATGTCGTACAGCAGTTGATTCATAGAGTTATGCAACGAGAAACAGTCTTTTCATAATATTTATGCAAAGATTCAAATGTAGATGTCGTTGAAGGTTAGATTACGACAATCATTCTTCTTGAAACAGTTTTTTATTTTTATGTCATGTGCTATTGCATTCAGTGGTAATGAGGGGTTGAAGTCACTACCCTCGTTGGAAGTTACCATTGCTCAGCCAGGCTGTACACAGAACACATAACGCCCGTTTCCTCACTACGCTACGAAGACCGCTTCCTGGAGAACAAGACTGCCTCAAGCGAATCTTTCAAGTACACTTCCAATGAATCCTTCAGGATTACTTTGGTTGCCGTGAAAAAGGTTATATTAGTTAAAAGTTACTATGTGACGAATGTCACATATATATCTATGTGACTACTCATCCCGCTAACCTTGGTTCAAGACTAGCTTGAACTAAGCAATCTTCTGTTATATAAAAGATAAAAACATTCTTCAAGAATTTCTAATCACGTCCTTTCAAAACCCTTACGAAGTATCAAACCAAATTCGAGAATACATATTACAACACTACTAGATTTCGAATCCGAACAACTACGAACACCTACGATAGATAATTTTCGACGGAGAATCGTGAGCGAAGAGGGATATTTTGCTACAACATTCGAGAGGAAATACTACAAGAAAGCGGATATCTTTGTCAAAAGAGGCCTACGAGAAGCAGAGTATCGAATAGGATACCGTGGCCTGCATATACCCAAACTCAGAAAAGAGAGATTAAGGAACGAGGCGACGTCTTTAAACTTTATTCATAAATTCACAAACATTGCCGTTCCGCGATTATATGATCATTTTGAATATAACGGCGCCTAATATACTGTTTTGGGATATGTGGAGGGTGTGAACATGGCCGATCTGAGTGAAACTCGAAAGGAGGTGGTGAAGAGGGAGGTCGAGACTCAACTTGCAACAATGCACAATTTAACATCGAGCAAAATCGGTAGACCATCGGGTATCATCAACCCTCCTTGTCGTATCCTGAGAAAGACAGATGACCAGATGTGGAAGTCACCAACCAAAGACGATGCATATGTTTTCTGCCACCTGTATCTCTTCCAGCATAACATCATCGTGGACCCAGTGACCTTGAAAATCAAGGCTATCATCGATTTCGAATACTCGGGCTTTTGGCCTATACAATTTGAGCTCCGTTTTTATACAAGACTTGGCCCTTCAGTCGCTCACGAAGGATAGATTGACGATAGAAATGAGCTACTGAAATTCCTCACAGTCAGTTCTTGTTGCTTCCTGATAGAACAAGCCAGCCAGTTGCGTTCATAGTCCGGGTCCTGAGTAGAATATGCAATGACTCGATAGAGTCACGCAAATGCCACATTCACTATAACATAATGAAAGATAGAAGATTCTTTGTCCAATTATTTATAATGAATACACGTCCATAATTCTTAAGGTTCAAATTCTCCATGTTGGACCAACCTTTCACTACTCCTAAGCTAAGGAAACGTTTGAGACCTCCCGACTGCCATGACATGAAGAGCTGCTCTAATCGGTATTCAGTCCACGATCTGTTTCTAGGAAGACAGTATGCCATACTCGGTCGAAGAGGGTCTATGGCTCAATGGCCCTTGCCGCATGAAAGACACGAGGATCGCGAGCTCGAAATATCTGCGCCACAGTACCTACAATTTACAAATTATGATGATATGATGGATTGCTCAACGTCAAAATCTTTGTAGTTTGACGAGAGAGAGATGAGAGAAAGCCTCATACTGATTGTAATACTGAACGAGAAACTATCTTTCTATATCTCTGGAACTATTTTATCAGGGTGCCTAGCTTGCTTGACGAAGGCGCCACGTTGCTCTATTAGCGAAGTGTTTGATAACTGACACTTTATTCTTCTCTTGCTCATTTCGGCTAAACTAGAGAAGTGGCCCACATGGATGTCTCTAATTATGCATTAACCGAATAGTCTAGCTGAATATAACAAGTATCGCAATTGAACTGTCAGCGTATCAGTTATATTGTGTGAATGCGGCTTTTACACTGTCATACAGCAGGCACAAGAATAGCACTTGATAACGGGAATCCTTCATACATGACAATACTGGTTGATGATTGGCCGGCAATAATTAAAAAAGAACTAAGAGCAAATTTTAACGCCATCAATAGGATATCTGCCAAAATACGTATTCTCTGACTACAAGCTATGACCTCAGTTCAACCAAAAAAAAAACAATGAATCTCGTTTTGCGAGAATTCCGAACTAAATACAAACCATTCTTCGCAACTATCGCTTGTCCTGCCATAGCGGTGCCCAAACTCTCCGTACAAACTGCTATTTTCCTTTGATTTGAATAGCTCGTTTGCCCATTATTCGACCTTCGCATACAATTTCTCAGAATTGCGCTTGTGATAAAGCATAAATCTTTGTAGTTCTATAGAACTAAATGTCCATGCCCTTTGTACCTTCTTGGTAGATTTCGTGGCGTATTATTCCAACCTCATAGTATCAGAACGTGGCTGCTGTTCCGCAGTCCATGTAAGCTAAGATTTGGAACACTGTCGTGGCAGAAAAGAAATATAGTTTGAAACAGCTGTTTGATCTCAACAATGCGAGGATTTCCAAATTCAGTCAGAGAATCGATGCCTCCAGGTCGAAGAAGAGCATCATCGAATTGTTCAGGTTTATTGGTGGTCACAATTAGTACGCTCTCTTCTTGGGAAGCAACACGATCGATGATATTAAAAAGATCAGAAAGTGAGATTCTCTTCTTCTTCTTCCAATCCATAACTTGAGAGTTCTCGTTTCGAATAAGTCCAGCTGAGTCAATACTTTCGAGACGAAGAATCATTCAACGAAAAGAAAGAGTTTTGAAGATTAATTCCAAATCATCCTCGCCCATATCAGAGAACATTAGGCTAACAACATAGATACCAAGACCGAACACACACACCAGCAATTGCAAAAGCAAGGGAAGTTTCCCCGGTCCCAGGTGACCCGTGAAATAGATACCCTCGTGGACATGGAATTCCACGATCCGCATACCAAATTTGAAGAATAAAATCTAACTAATTCTTGATATCCATCACAATTTCCTTTTTCTTCTGCTCATCAAGGGCCATTGTACGAATAGGCTTGCAAGGTCAAGAAGCGACTGCAGTCCAACTACTCCAACCTCCCTGACGGCTTTGATCTAGTGCAGAGGGAGGCCAAATAGTAGTTTTGATTTGTTGTTCAAAAGGTATGACATTTAAGACTTTCACTCAAAACTTGCTTCAAAGCTCATTTGTACTCATTTTCTGAATATATATTGAGTGAGCTGATTTAGATAAAGTAGTATTGCAGATCGAATCCTATTGTATAATACGATCGCTTATATACGTACTCGCGTATGTATAAGATGATAATTCTATAATTAGTATATATATATATACTTTATAAGCGCTAGGCTCTTGATTTTATAGCTATAGATTCTAATAATAAATTATACCTTACTCTTATAGTTCTTATAAGATAAAGTCCTCTGGCAGCAGGGAAGGCCAATTGCAGCCAGCCAGAACAAAGGTCCAGGTGATCAGCCAGTGCCTTCTCCGAATCAAGGAGACAACTTTAGCAGGGCCCTATTACACATTAGGGTGTCGAACGGATTCTATTAGAGGCCTTACAAAAGAAGCAGTAACAAAATAATTCCAGGAATGGTGGAACAAGTGTATATATAATCAGATCACTATATTCTCTAATAGATTGGAATAGACTAATAAGGATAATAGATGAGTAGGATATGGATATATTATATATAAAGGATAGATAATAGTATACAAAGGAAACAATAGATTGTATTATAATTCTTATGTATTTAATACAAAAGCGATTGGGGTATATCGAGGCCTTCAAGCAGCAATCAGTAATATTATTAGTATAAAATAAATGGAAATCTATATATACATTAATAACATATTAGTAATATAAGGAATAAGAAGTATAGCCTTTATTATATCATAATAGATCTTCCTTAAATATTACAAACTGATGTAAACACACTTGATCCAAATCAAATGATTATTAGGCCATACAAGGATCAAGGGGAATGAATAAGTAGATGTACTTGTTAATAAAGAGATAAAAAAATCAGCCTTAGAATATACAAACCGACCTATAGTAAACAATATCTACTTTATAGTAAAAACCATTATGGAATTGGCAGTATAAGCATGATAGATTAAACAAATATTAATGCTTTTTAAATAATACCAAAAATAAAACCCAAAGAGTACAAACAAATACTCTAAGGAACTAGAATTCTCATAAACAACTTTTTACTATATATTAACGATCCACTCAGTATATAGCGATTTCGAAAACTATTATTAACGATTTAAATATAAAAAAGCAACAATTCACTGTTTATACAAAACATTCAAATCCCCTGAGTATATTATACATTGCCACAAAGTCCTTGCGATCTATAAAACCTGGCCTCTAGATATCAAGCCCAAATACCCACCCTGTAATTAAATAGTTTAAAAACGACTATTGAAATAGCTAATATATATATCAATCAAATTCACTAAATTTATTATTATAATAAACTTTTATAAAAGTATATATTCTAAAATACTATTAGAAGAATAAAAGAAGAAAAGAAAAGAAATCAATTAATCTAGATAAACATAAATAAAAAATAGAAGAGAATAGATCTAGAAAAACTATATAAAAGAAAATTGAAGCATGCAATATACTATATTATAATAGAATATATATAAAAACTATTCTTATAGGATAAAGTAGTTTTCAAATAAATATTATATAGAAGATTGAAAAACATATATAGAAATATTTAGAGGATTAAAGATAAATGTTACGTAAGCGGATACAATAGGAGTTGTAAGCTTTATCACTACGTCACACACACAATCTGTTCAAAAGGCATAGTATCAGGGATTGTTTCCTGATAGCTTATTACTATATATATATCTATATAACAGAGCTCTCCTCTTTAACCTTTTCATCCCGAAAAGGTTAGTACAAAGGCTATTATATTATACTATAGTCAACCATATAATTTGTAATAATAGAATAATACTCTTCTATTATCTAATACCCTTATTATTAATAATTTATTATTAATAAATTCAGAATATCCAATCATTAAGCAGATATATCCTTGTCCCTAATTCAATTCACTTTTCAATTGGTTGTTAATCCAGTTCCAATTAAAAGCCCGAATCAGAGATCCCAGAACGATATCCACAAGATAAAATCCCTGATACTGTGCCTTTTGAACAGATTGCGTGTGTGGCGTAGTGGTAAAGCTTACAACTCCTATTGTATCCGCTTATGTAACAGAGTATCAGGGATTTTACCTTGTGGATATCGTTCTGGGATCTCTGATTCAGGTTTTTAATTAAAACTAGATTAACAATCAATTGAAAAGTGGATCGAATTAAGAACAAGGATATATCTGTTTAATAATTGGATATTTTGAATTCATTAATAATGGATTATTAATGGTAAAGGTATTAGATAATAGAAGAGTGTTATTCTATTATTACAAATCATATGGTTGACTATAGTATAGTATAATAGCCCTTGTACTAGCCTTTTCGGGACGAAAAGGTTAAAGAGGAGGGCTCTGTTATATGGATATATATATAGTAGTAAGCTATCAGGAAACAATCCCTGATACTGTGCCTTTTGGACAGATTGCGTGTGTGGCGTAGTGGTAAAGCTTACAACTCCTATTGTGTCCGCTTACGTAACAAACACCTTTTTATACAAAGAAGATAATAAAGTATAGGTTAGTACTAAGAATATAAAAACCAATCGCCTGATAAAAAAAGGTGATAACAAATGGGATAGCCCCTATAAAATTCTAAAAGTTTATAAACGAGCCTGTCTACTCCAGCTCTCCATTAGTTTTAAGATCTTTCCAGTATTTCACAATTTATTACTCCAACTACTCCACCGCTCACCTAGACTAGCTAGTCAAAAAGCAATTAACAAAACTGAATCCTATTGAAATTAAGGCTATATCCTAAAAAGAGATAATAAAACAAATAAGAAAACCGAGCAATAAGAATTCAATAAACTACTTGATTATTATAACAAAAACGGATTTCATTATCAAATCAAATAGAAATATTATCCAACATCTTAACAACCTACCGAAAACCTTCGCGGCTAGGAAAACACAATCATTACTTTTCATTTAATAAATCCAAATAAGCTAGAACCATTTACTTAGATAAACTTCAAAAGATCTATTATTTCTAATTCCTCACTAATACTTATATTAAGTATACCCCCAAATCAAGGTTGAGATAGATTTAAAAAGCTTTAGCAATTGATTATTATTTTCAAGAAAGTTTATTTTAATTTAATAATAGAAATTAGAGTATTTTAATATTATTTTGTTTTCTAAAAGATCAATTGATATTGCAATTGTAAACTGATTGCCTTAAGCAAGAGGTATTATTACAATGCTAATTATATAATCTATAATTGCCTTTATACCTCAGGCATAGTATATTAGTACGCCCTACTTTCTATAAGTAGGGCTTCACTTTTCTATAGCTCTTCTATCCTTATGGTACAATATAAGTCTTTATCCGTACCTTGACAATTAGTTTATCTAATTGAAGAATTTATTATTCTAAAAAGTTTCTTTCATTTGAAGATATATCAATAAAACTAGAAATAATTGAAGTTTGAATTTTCTGTTTAAATAAAATTGGCGAGACATAGAAAATCCAGTATTCTTTTAGGAAACGAGTCATTAAATCAGGTGTATTGCTTAGGGGCTCATGGTTCGCTTATCTTTATGTATCTAGTCTACAAATTATTTCATGAGTTATATAACAAAGCTACAAGGCGTTTATTAACTAGAACTGACTCTCATATATGAAAATAGAAACACAGAATCATGAAGCGATCGGATACGGTAGTATACTACCATATAATCTAAAGCAAGAGAACTAGAAAGCACCCCGCAATCTTCGATCACAAAAGTGAGCTTTTGATTAACGTTGGTACACGAAATAGCTTTTGGCCAAGATTTGGGCTGACTCACGTGAATTTGTCTAGTCTTACCTTGTCGAAAAGCTTCATTGCCCTTATTACTCCAATTTTATCAATGATACCTTTCGCGGTGGTAACCTGGGAAAGGAATTGGCTTGAAACTACAGGTTAAGCTAGAAACGAATCACCTTGACTGAGCCTCAGAATCCTAATTCTGTAAGAAAGCTTTATCCTCTTTCCGTGCGTGTAGATGTTCTCGCTAAATAAGGGGTTTATTTGTATTGTTGAATGACTCGCATTCTCCCTCCCCCCTGATGGGTTGGCGCCGGCCTTGATATAGCCTCAGTTGAAATCATTTATTGTCACTAATTTTGAGTCTTACATGTCAATAAAATATGTTGATATCTACCTAGGTATCTAGACACAACATGCTTCCACGACCGCGGTGTTGTGCTTCGGTGCAACATTGCCAACAGTCATCATCGTGCCACCACACTTCGAAATGATTAAATATGCTCCCGGTTCCTTGAGTGCACTATAGCTGCTTTTATTTTACTTCACTCCAAAGGTTTGAATATTTACAGCAATGCCTTGTAATACTTGTCTTGACCTTGTCAATACCGGGTATGAAATAGATGGGCGACACTGGGATATCCACTTTACACAAGATCAAGTGGACGAATACCGTCTAGAATTCACCTCAGTTGATCTTTATGCGACAGCAACCTCCGAATGCCTATATTACTAGATTACCCAACAGGGGTTATTTGATTAACGAAAGTCGGTCTTTGATTGATCTACCAAGGCCATATGTAGGCTGACTACATTCCATATCTGTTGTTACCTTCGTCATTCGACACCATAGAAAATAAGCTCGAAAGAATCTAGTGTTTCTTCGATTGCTTTATTAGTTCTAGAGGTAATATTGCCGTCTGAGTTTCGAAGAATCTTCCATTCATTTTCTAGATCATTTGACTCGATCATCGTTCCACACGTCCACTGACCAACACCGACTACGAAACCAGAATTCGAAACTTCGAGATAGTCCCCTGAATAAATCGTGGGAAGCGAAATAATGGGTTCATTGCTCATACTCCAAAAGCTAGTAACAGAGTTTGGAGGAGGTGAACAAAAGTCTTCGTGGTATAAGCTGATTTCAGAACTTCTTGGTGTATCAGATGTATCGAAGCTTTTGCAGCTCTGGTAATCATTAAGATGAAGCTGCGAGCTGTCAATCGAGATGTAAGGATCGGGCCAGATGTCATGAAGTTTCTCGCATTGCTCGCATTGGGAATCAAAAAGCTCAAAGTCCACGAAGTTGGGTCCATCATCGAGATTTGTCGGCACGTTGATCATTCCTGGGAAAGATCTCGATATTGATGCTTGGACTTGTTCAATGTTAAAATCATCTATTGATGCATAGGGATCAGCATATTTTTCAGTGAACCAATATGAGGCATAGTATCATACTGTAGTCACTCGTTTCGGAATTGGAACATCTATTCCTGCAACAATGATTCGTAGAGCCCACAATATCAAAGGATGGGACCGGCTCATCATCGGAATGAAATTTATATTCAAAGGTTGTTCTCGGAAAGATAAATTGTGATATTGGCTCTTCTTTATTGGTGTCTTCTTGTCGATCTTGAGGATATATAGGATTTGGAGACACTTGGTCGATCCGCGGTAAGTTTTGATTATATTTGCAATAATGGTAAGGAAATCTATGAGATTTTGTCATCTCCATTGATACGAAGGTTTTTCGAGAGTGATTCGTTTGAGATTTGCAAAGAATAAGTACAAATAGGTAGATAGTATGCACAATGGGCTTGCTTTTGTAGCTATCTTACCTCATGTACATACGGATAGTGACCTGTAGACTGGAGGCGGTCTTCTATTTAGAGGTGAGATATTCGCAAGCGGTCTTATCACCGACTTTGAACTTAAGACATATTACATCTGCAAGATGTGGCGGCTAACCCCGGACGCGGGGTGATCCGAAGGTGATTTCGTTTCTTTCTGTAGGGCTGGATTGAAAAAGGCGGTCTTTGTGGAGTTCTCTTTAAAAACACCCCTATCTAATTACTAAAACCGCGCTTCTTGTTCATTTGATGTGGCCATGTACGGTGTGTTTGTATTACTTTATATCGTGAACTTATTACTCACATCCGAAGCTATGCGATGTCCAATTATATTTCAGGGTGGCATATATATTTCTAGGACCGCCTTCGCTTTCTTGCCTTGGGCTGACATCTGCATCCCGACCTAAAAACCCATCGGAATAGAAAATGCCTTTGTCAAAATAATTTAATCAGTCTGCAATTACAAATTCTCACATACACTCACTGAAAAATTTATTAACCATTTTGAATATCTCGTTTCTTATTGTTGAGTTAGATCTTGAAGAAGGCGGTCCTCAAAAAGATCAAACAACCGAAGGAGAGCAAGCACCATAGCCTTCTTATGCCATACGCTTCAAGACTCAGATAGAACGACCCTTGTCGATTCCATGTCAGTTATCACTTCTATCAACAGTCAATTATCATTAATATTATTGATTTAGCATACCTCAATAAAAAAACGCTCCCTCTTCTCTTGAGGAACTTTTGCACTCACGTGACCGATATTCATGAAATACGAGCTGCCTCTCCCAATCATTCGTCCTCATTATGGATGACTTCTTAGATACCTCAGGAATTGGTAAATCTATTGGAGTGAACAATCATACATGCTAATTCTCATAGATATGAATAACAAATCAAATCTTTCCATATATATACAATTGATTACCTTCAGAAAAGGCTCCGCGGATGAAATGATCATTGATGTACGAGAAGATTGCCAAGTCGAGACTGCTCGATGTCTGTCTAAACGGCTGGACTTTCGGTTTCGCTATGCATATGAGACTCGCAGAGCCACAATCACCCGGAACTCATCTCTTCATACTTTGGAGGTACCCGACTTGTACGATTATCAGACTGATTTACAAGGATCGTTTTATCACGACTTTATCATTGGTACTGGAGATTCAAACATGGATGTGGATATCTCTGCATACCAAGATTTCTTAGCACCACTACCTGAATTCTCTAGTGACTTTGATGTATTTGCGCAGGATATGGGACTTTCAGATGAGCGGTCCGCCAGCGTGCTATTGAATGATTTGGACCTGGACAACAACACCTTTGGTACTTCTACAAACTTTCAGATAGGGCATGATGGCGAAAAAACCCTGCCAGACTGGTTTGATCTGGTAAATATTGTGGACCAAGATCACTTTGACCCGGACATCAACATGCTGGATGATACTCGACTCGACAATACTACTTTTGAGAATGCACATGAATCATGCGAAAGTCTTCAATCGGGAATGAATACTCCAGTTACTAGCGGAATTCAGAACTCTATAACCGATATACCAGCATGGAGAGACACACCTCTAGTTCCTGTGGCGGTACTAGACATACCAACACCTCGACCTCTTAGTCCTGTAGAGCTAGCCCACAGTGTCCCATCAAAGAACTCACAGTCACAAGGAATCGACATTGTTGTCAAACCTATTCTGAATCGAAGCGATTCTAGCCTCGATAATACAGCGTCAAGCTATCAAGAAGGGGTTTTTAGTTCGATGCCCGGTTGTTCGAGTATGCCAACTACTTATGGATCTTCACCTCATCGTATGGGCCCTTTAGACTCCGCCACACGTGCCAAAGCAAATGCTGTAAAAGCTATAGGGGCTTGTTGGCGCTGCAAGTTCTTACGAAAGCCAGTAAGTCTACCAATTCAACTTCCCTTCACTCCAGAGAAGGATTTTCTGTGGTACGATTTTGTATTATTCTCCTTCATATCTATCAGGGTTGCTTGGTGAATCTTCGCAGCGACTATCCACATGAATGATAAATCGGTTACCGTTGCCTTGAGATGTGTGTTGTAACACCAGAAAAATGTGAAAACCGTTTTTCTTTGACGTTTGGTTTCGTGTTACTGTGCACGGCTCTCCTATTCATCAAACTTTGTTCAATCTATACGCAAATTATCTAGAAGAAGTAGCTAACATGTTAAAGTGTGATGCACAAAACTGTTGCATTCAATGTAAAGGGAAGCAGGGTGGACCGTGGCACAGTATTGGATGCAAACGGGGCGATATCAAAAAGAAAATGCTCCCGATATCATTGTGTCCCGCAAGAACCATTCAAACACGGAATCCATGCACAGTATCGGAAATGTACAAGCCATGGCTTTCTGCAAATCAATATCGCCTCGAGATATCCAAGCGTCGCGAAAAGAATTTACGTCCCGAGATTATGAGCGCTTCACACCCCACGAAGATTGGTCAATTTCTTCAAAATTTGGCAAGTGGTAGGCCGCTAGCCGTTGATTTACAACGAAACAGATCATCCTTGTTAGAAAGGTTCAGAGACACTGCACCAGCTGTGTTGAAGCCGCTTGATGACTGCATTTTGACTATACTTTGGGGATTTCTCAATTGTGAAAGTGCAGAAAAAGCAGTCCAACCCTGGATAACATTACACAGTGGGACCATAGAAGATTTTATATTACTTCTACATTCTGCAGCTATATATCAAGCAAGTTTTGAAAGTGTAAGTAGAAGCATTCTACATTCCTTATGACTCTAGCTCATTTAAATTTGCAGAATCAACTAATTGCTTACTCACTCACCTGTCTTCGCACTTGCGTCGAAGCTCTGCACATAAATATATTGGGGGGCTTCGAGCATTCGCATGAAGCATGTGAATTATCTATTTGTAAGGTCGATTGCATACGGGATCTCGAATTACAAATAGAACAGTACCTGGATGAACTATCTCGAGTTATTTTTCTGAAAGAAAACATGCGAAACCGATTCTGGTGGCTGTCAGCTTTCTACAGTCTTTGTATTCAGGGGGTTGTTCGACAAGCATTAGTATTGTTGTCCTCTAATGACCACAACGAGATATCGGGAATTGAGAAGTCGAGCTCTGCACAATATTTACACATTGCAATTCGGTTGTTCTCTGTGAGTTCCGGTAGCCATGATCCGTTAATTCAAGACTGGTCTTCTCAACTTGCGTTCCCACCGGCTGGAGTCGGAGCGCCAAGTGTCGAAGATTACCAAATTGCCCAATCAGCGATCAATCAATCCCAGTGGAAATTCAAAGGTATCAAGAAGTCTGGGAATTATCTGAAGAATCTGTTCGAGGACAATGGGGGTCCTCTCGCAGAGCCCCACGACGAATCTGTAACACTCAGTATCCTACCCGAACCATATCTCCCAAAAACCTTTACCTTAGAAACTTGTCGCCAACTTCGCGTCGATTGGGATTTAGCTCGATGCAACTATACGAAGAATTTATTACAAATCGTCAAGGATTATGGACACAGCTCAAAAGTGTATACTGACGCTGAAGAGAAATGGGGACTTGTGGAGGCTGAGTGGAAAAGAGTAAGCGACGAGGCTATGACGAACACTGTCAACCAAGCGCACAATGGCCGCGAAACACCATAACCCCTTCTTCCAGATACATTGAGCATTTTGAGTAAGTTGATGGAATACAAATGTCAGTATTGCAGTCATTAATACTTTGAAGTGAGCTACCCAATGAGAGGGTATCAAACTATCTCATGAAACCCTCGGGAATACCAACACTAGATGTCAAGCATCCACGACATTGCTTCCACGTCAAACTTACCCGCCCAATTTTCGATTTCACCTCTAGCATTCTTTGCCCGCTCTTACTGCTTTCTCAAGCATTACTTATGCCGCCCTCAAAGCCGAGCTTCTCTCGCCTTAGCCGAGCAATGATGAGACTTTATGGGCGAGATCTGAAGAGAAAGAAAAGCAGGTAAGTTCACGAACCGTTGAAGTCCTAGGGGGGAAGTGATGCCGATACCCCGCGAGAACCTGGTTTCCAAAAGTTCTATATCTGAGCCATCAGTCTGGAATGAACAACTTGTGAAAGTTCAAACAACCTTTTATCCAGCACGAGGTCACCGCAGTGAGCTCCCATTTGTGGGAAAAGTTATGAATCCATCTCAATTAATCCAGAAGGATGATCTGGGAATATCCGAGAAGTCAACAGGTATCAGGAGAAGTAGATGATGTGAAAGAAAAGTCGAAGGTAGAAGGGCCAGGAGATACGCATTCACTATAAAAAGAACGCGAGGAGTTGATCCACTATATCCATTAAGATGGACTTAAGGAGGTACTAGAGACCGGCCGATTTGTGTTTCCTTTCGGGAGTTTTTGAATTGATTCTTCTTGGAAGTTTAATCTAATGGGGGGAAGGGGAAGGTTAAGATACCAGAAACTCCAAATGTGTAGAAAAACACAAACCATGAGGAGATGGCCGGCTTTCTTGTTTGCTGTTATACACGGGGGATATACACATCGGTGATGAGAAGATAAGAATGTTATATGCGTGAATGAGGTGGGATTACGTATGAAATCTGCCTAGGCAGGTAGCAATAAGTATGTAATGAACATGAAAGCCACTCGAGCTTTTGTATGCATTACCTTGTAAAAATACACCCAGCGCACTATCAAGAAACCATTTTTCCTATCCTTGATGATCTTTTCACATCGCAAATATACAGACCTTCACATTATCTATCTCCCATTCTATCTAATTCCACACTGATTGATAGATTCCACATCTCACACAAATCATCATCTGATCCGTCGGCCGGGACGAATTCTTCTGCGTAGATGATGTTCCCATTACCTGCGCCATAGAGAATACGTTGCTCTAACAGAACTTCGTCTTCGTTCTCCGCTTTCCATCTTCATTCGCAACTCGGATTGATACAGAAAAACCATCCATGACCGTCGATATATGTTTGCGAATTATCCTTAACCTTACTGAGAAAATAGTAAAGCCCACCATGAAACGTCAGTTGAGCTTCTTCCAGTACAGTCCTCGATTGATGGCTAGGAGAAATACGATATCTCCGATAAGACTTCGAAGCAAAATCTCAGTCTTGTTAAGCATCAACTACCAAGACTGGATCTTAAAGTTTCTTGCAGATTTTTTAGTCAAAGATTATCCATCTCGGGACCGAGGCTCACGTGATCTCTAGAGTAGAACCCCTCCTTTCACTTCCAAAGGAAAACCTAAATTCTTTCCCAAGCTTCATTTCGTGACCAATTCTTGGTTTTGGAGCAGTTTTCGATATGTTTCTGTCCAATGGTCTTCTCAAGATACCCAGATTCTCAAGAAAAGTGTGATTGTGGTGGTTTGGATGAATGTGAATATCAAAGAAGATCTTCCCATCAGGCAAATATATTTGCCTGGTCTCTCTACTTATACGTATTCTTGTACAACTTAGATGATTTATCATCTATTGCCTATCCCCGAATCTAAAGCGCCCCATAAAATTCCACAGGAGAGTGTCATGGTGCTTGGAATTAATAATGATCGTTGACTTCACATTAGACATAAATACCTGAGCGAGACTGCGATAATTAACCATTTTATTTCATCAATCCAAACTCCCTCATCATAGAAACATATCCAAAAACTGCAAAAACTTCCAATAAACACACCATCAACATGCTCGCCCTCACAGGAACCACCGGCAAGATAGGCAAAGCAGTTCTCAACGCCATCCTCTCTCGCTCCCTCTTCCCTCCCTCCGAGCTCATCATCTGCACCTCTTCAGACCCCTCCGACGCCAAATTCGACACTTTCAAATCCCAAGGTATCCAAGTACGAAAATCAGACTACAATGATCCATCCACCATGAAGAGCGCTTTCGCCGGTGCCGACAAACTCCTCTTAATATCCACTCCTCAAAATGATCTTGACTTCAACAATGCTCCTCACGGCCAAGGACGCGAAAAACACCATTTTGCAGCTATAGATGCGGCGAGAGAAGCTGGTGTGAAACATATCGTTTATGCATCGTTAGCGTTCGGATTAGAGAGTAAGACGGGCGTTGTGCGTGCGCATTTGAGAACTGAAGCATATCTCAAGACTTTAACCGATATCAAGTGGACGATTGTGCGAGAGGGACTTTACCAGGAATCCTGGCCCCTGTATGCGGGTTTCTACGACACGGTTGCGGATCCCAGGGAGGAATTGGTGGTTGCCGGAGATGGACCATTGAGCATGATTAGTTTGGAGGATTTGGGAATTGCGAATGCGTTGGTGCTGGCTGATAAGTCGGGGATGTATGAAGGACAATTCTTTTACTTGAGTCCGAGGAAAACAGTGTCTATGACTGAGGTTTTGAAGATGGTATCGCAGATTAAAGGGAAAGAAATTAAATTGAAGATTGTGTCTGATCAGGAATATATCGATTATTATGCGGAGAAGGGATTTCCAAGAGCGATGTTGGAGTGGTGGGCTAGCAGTTATACTGCGCTTAGTGAAGGAGAGTGTGAGATAACGGATGGAAAGTCGGATGAGTTGTTAGCGAGTGTGGGTGTGAAGCCTAAGGGGATGGAAGAGACGGTTAGGGAGATGATGGCGGGAGGATTGAGAGGTCATGATAAGTTGACTTAAGGGAGAGAAAAGATCTTTTCACTTGCTTCTGATACCTAGGTGGTGTATCCTAATATAAAAGTCTATGTAGTAAGGTTAACCTTTGTTTCTGAAAATCTGCATTTTCAAAATGCTAGGCAGTGTTGTCACATGGATGGTGATATGCAGTGAGGTAGAACTGATCATGCGAAGAACTATTGGAAATGTCAATATACACTGTCTTGCGGATACTTTCAATGGTTTCATGAATCATGATTATCACTCAATCTCAACGTTAGAAAATCCATCTAGCTCAGGTAGGTTCCATTATATAATTATTATGGTGTACGTTCCGACCTAATAATAGAATATAGGAAAGAAAGGAAGCCGCTGGGAGTTTTTGTATGGGGATCTATGGAGTATGGTTAAGTTAGCATTTGGACTGGGAGAGTGTGGTGAACAGCAGAATGGCATACGCATTGAATGACGAGCCATGATCCAATCTATTAGAGTAGCAAAACCTCATCACGTGTATTCCACAAGTGCCAAACAGTCATGTCAGAACTTATTGTTGCAATGGAATGAATGCAAGCTCTATTTACAATGTATATCCCCATTTATCCCATGTAAGTGCAACCAATGCATCTAATTACAGTGTATGTCCCCGTGTATCTCGTTTCTCTTATGCCCTGTTTCCCAGTACATCATCTCAATGAAAAGATCCGTAATCAGTAAAAGCAAATGGGTATCTTAGTAAAAACGCCAAATATGCCACGCTCATGTCAGCTCCAAATTGCTAGCAAACAGCTAGAAAATAACTTCAAGTATGCAAATGCTTCCTTCCTTGTACGTGCCGTGAATAGATGCCCCTTTAATCCAATGAAAAAAATTGTTCAGTCTGTTTGCTCGCTGACGCGGGATTCAGACTCTACTTCGACTTCAATATCAGTATCGTCTTCTCCCTTGTCTTCTTCAACCTCTGCCTCCTCGCCACTGTCTTCAGAATTTCTCTTTCTCTTCTTAGAACCCTTCTCGACCTTCTTTGCAACTTTCTTGATAACCGCCTTCTTGCCAGCTCTGAAGCCTGGTTGCTTCTTGTCTCCAGTTCTATTGACCAAGTGCTCAATTGGACACACAGTGCTTTCCCAATCCACGGAACCCTCGGTTGTCGCAGCTCTACAGCGACCACATGTCTTTCCATGTCGGAGGAACAATTGATGGAGGGAATATTTCAAGTGATCGGGAATTCGAACTTCGCAGTGGCTGAAGGTTTGATCACGGCTTGCTTTCTCTGGAACCCAACCAAGCCACATACAATGGCGCCAGACATGCGTGTCAACAGCAAAGCTGGGTCTTCCCAAGCAGAACAAAGCAACGCATGCTGCAGTCTTGACCCCGATACCTGGCAAGTCCATCAATACGCGCATGGCAGCTGGCTTATCTAATGAGTGGACATAGTCAAGTGAGAGCATGTTCTCTCGCAAGCTCTTGATTTCGGCTTCCTTTTGCTCCTTAGTCTCCAGAACCTTTCCGACAAATAGAACTGGATCATCAGTATGAACCTCCTTCAGTAGAGTCTCTAGAAGCTTGGTGTTTTTATCGAAAACCACTTGTAGAATTGCCTTGATATAGCCTGCCTTAACCTTAGCAAGACCGCCTGATCTGATAGCCCCCTCAACATCTTCCCTCGATGAAGCATGTACGGCTTCCCATGAAACGCTGCCTGCGCCCTTGCCAGAGGTTCTCAATCCATACTCCGCCTTCAGACCTGCCATTGATTTGTTGGCGTTGCCAGCGGTGGTCGCAGCGCTAAGAAGAGTTCTCATGGTCGCGTCGAGAACATCCGGAACCTCTCCGCATCCAGTTACAGTCTCGGAGGGAGCTGGAACTGTATCTGGTGGCTTAACTTCACCATGCAGAGCAGTCAACAAGCTGTTGACCGTCTCGGCCTCTTGAGCAGTGGGCGAGACGTGATCGGGGAAAGGTGTTTCACCAAAGACGATACCGTAGTTCTTATTCTTTGCCTTGACAAGCTTAGCTGGGGAACCGTCAACCTCCGTGGATACATCAACAACCTTCTTCTTGCGTGGCGATCTCTTCTTTTTGGATTCTTCTTCCTTGATATCCTCAAGAAGATTGGAAATGAGTGAATCGCCAAGATTAAGTGGCTTCTCCTCATCTTCATCTTTGATAGAAGTTTTAACAGTATTCTTGGTAACTCTGGCTCGAGCGGCTCTCTTAGGAGTGGTGGGAGTCACTTCCGTGCCAGTATTGCCGAAATCGTCCTCAAGGAGATCACCCTTTTGTCCCATTCCATGAGGGAGGACATCCCAACCACCTGTCATTGATTCCATCGCTGACTTTGCCTTCTTTTTTGGTGGAGCACGCTTTCGGGACTTAGTTGGCGAACCGGTGGCGACATTTTCGAGGATTTGTTTATCGTCGGCGGGTGTAGTTGGTGGAGATGAAAGAGTTGCTGCTGCAGAGTTCAGAGCAGCAGCAGCTGCCGCAGCCTTGGTGGCGGCTCGAGTGGGCATCGTGAAATTGCAAATCTTGAAACCTGACCTTAACTGAATTGAATGTTAATTTGGAGGATAGGATAATCAAAAGCAGCTCAAGGAAGAGACTGAATGATAGAGATAGAGAGATTCAAGGCAGAAATGATAGACCAATTTTAAGAAAGGGTGGAGATGAATTGTGGTTGTGAGGTGGAAGAAAACAAGATGTAAAGAGTGAGTAGGAGAACGAAAGATGAGATATCAATATACCTTTGACAATGAAGCTATACTCTCTATGATGACAATATCGACGCCACTGACACTTTCACTAATCCAAAACGAGTAGTTGTTTGATGGACTTTGACTGTAGAGAGGCTCGAGCGTTAGTCACACCAAGGTATTTTTCTGATCTCTTCCCACTTGGGGAAACTTCGGGATAACTTGTGAAAATGTATCAGAAGAAAGATGGTTGAGAAGTGACTTTGAAAGCTTTTGGTCAATATTATCAAAACCTCAAGAGAAAGAGAGAAAATCTTCAATTCACTTCAATTGAAAGTCTCATTATAAACATTTTGGATGAAATGGAGCCATAAAAGGTTATTCACTCTTTTTTCTTGATTAGAAAGAGAAATGGAAATGGTTTATCTCCTGGTCAGTCCTGTCATTCACCTTAATGCATCAGTTTATTGGAATACAGCTGGCGAACAGACAAAAAAGAAGTGACAGAAATTCTGGGAATTGTTTGCCATTTAAAAACCTGGAGAGGAAGCTGTGAAAACCATGGAATGGTTAGTTACCTGACTAACACCTATTGAGTACTCACTTGTCTTCATCTATGCAGTTGATTGATCAACTAGATGCCAATTCTCAATGCTCAGTTCTGGGAAATTGAAAACACTCTCTGGAATCATTCATGATCAGACATGTATGTCAAACATATAGAGGTTGATATGAGATATACAAATGTTGGAGGATGATGGAGCTTGGAAGATCAGATACATCTACCTGGCGCCCAATTCTTATATAGAACGATCGGTTTGGAAGAGACATGATATACACGGAGTATATGATCTCAAGTTTATTGTTGCGGTCAATCCATGAGATTCCGCAGAGTAAATTTTCCCGCTTGATAACAGCGACATTCACACGGTTCTCTCCCCTTCACCTCAGGGTGGCACGAGCTTCCAACCATTATCATCGAAGCCGCTCACTTAACTATCTGAACACCTAGTAAATCTCAACTGGAGATGCAATGCTTCAGAAGTGATGCTCGGGATATGCGGTGAGGAAGGATTTACTCCGCATTCGATGCAAGTTTAAGGAGAATAGTCAAGTGTGTTTCGAACGTCAGTTACTGGTAAACGATTGATTTCGATTATTATTCCACTACTTGCTTTGTGTTATACCTCATTTCTATCACCAGGAAGCCTCCTCATGAGCCAGAAAGTAAAAGGGCCTACTTTCTCATCCATCTCTTTCCATTTTTTATCCAGAGTATTGGTCTGTGGATGATTGATGTTCTCTTCGATACAGACAAAACCGTTCACATCATATAGAGGTCATCCGTACGGTGTTGCATCTAGAAGAAACTCATACCCCAACTCATCCGCTTTTTTCATACCCCAGTTCATAAACTTTTGGCCAACACCTTTGCGTCGGTAGTCTGGATGGGTAAAGACGATATGAAGATCTTGTACTTCGGTCAGTTCCAAGCAGTACACTCGACTATTTTACTTACAAATATGTGGTTTCTGCGCAACTTTATACCGAGGTCTAGAATGTGTTTGCAGTGCCTGCTCGGCATACTCGCGGGAGCTATCGTTCGGAAACCAAGTCACATTAGAAGGGGGTGGGTTTTCAAATGGGTTTTCATTGTAGATTTTCCAGAGAGCCCCTCCTGAAATTCTACCATTTTCGGTAACAACGACTTTTTGCCAGTAACTCGATGGATCGTGCGTGTGCCATAGCTGTAGCCGATTTGCTGCTTCATCAATTGCATCTTCGCGGGCATTGTCACCCGTTCCTTGGATGGGGAACCAAAGATGAAAGAATTTTTGCAGAGGGCGTTCATAGGATTCAAACAGGCACCGTGTAAGCGCAGCAAAATCAACCTCGGAATCTATGGGTTGAAGCTGAAGAGTCATTTCGAGACTTCAAGTACTGACATGTAGTCATATCGTTGGGATGGGCAGAACTGAGGTTATTTGGAGCGTTCTGGACAGGTGAGAAACTAGGCGAGAACCACACGTGCCGGCTATTCCCAGTATAAGATTGGATAGGCATTGCTCGAAGTACCGTGCAAAGTCGTGTTTCACTGGTGTCAAATCTTGTTAAATCTTAAGAAGATACGGGAACTAGGGTCTGGAACAAAGCCCGCATAATTTAGAGTGGACCAGTAAGCACTAAGCCAGGCCGTTCCAGACTACCGGTATTGATCCCGTACCAATGATTCGTCCAGACTAGACATTCCCTGACGGGGCTTGGGCATAGACGGTAATAAGACTCTGAGCCAAGTTTAGTGCGGGGCTTAGGTATTTGTCAACGTTACATTAATATATGCAACTGGTATGAAAAGGTTAGTTCTTATCAGGCAGAGAAGTCGTACCCTTCTTTTACCGAAATACATTCATGGTTCGAGAAAGGCTCCTTTGCTCCGTAATCTTCTTCGAGCTGCCGTATGGGGAACCAGCGCCAGGATCGTGTGGCAAGCATTCAATTCTAGATTCCAATCACAGTTTACAATGGGTTAAGCTTCCAAGCAAAAGCTGGAAGATCACAAACTACAACTCGTAATAGCGCCGAGCATTTTGCCGTCAAATCTTCTAGGATCGATCTTTTCCATGTTGGAAGTGTTGGAAGATGTTTTGGTAGAAAAGGTATGTGCTATCAAGTTTCAACACAAAATCATGGAATCCAGAAGTAACACAAGGTTTTATGTTAACTGGATCTTTATGGTAGCAATCTAATAGTGACTTTAGCATATCGCAATGAATGTCAGTCAAGATTTGCATTTACCAGTCGCACACATCAACCATGTTCCATGGAAATGAGGCCAAATTTACTAACTGTTAGGAGCGTCATAATAACCTCCCTTTAACATTCGTAACGTTGAAGCTTGAATACCATCGCTGATGGAACAAGTATTGTTATGATTCCCGATCTTCCGTCTGCCTACTTATCTTAAGATGACTGTTAAAAATCAAAGTATACAAGCATGACCGAAGAATACTGTATGGTGTTTTTTCGTTGGCTCTTTAACAAGAGTACTATTCATGTCAAACCATTTTGCGCAGTCTGTTTCCTTCTGTTCTTCACTCTCCCCTTTCGATCTTCAGCATGAACCAAACGCAGGCTCTCATAACGAGTTCCAACAAGACCCCTTTGGTGCAGATATTTGTGTGGATTCCAATTACTGCCTCAGCTCTAGGAGTATGTGTGCATCTGGGTACGAAGTTGGCTGTTTCGGAGAAGTTAGAATGGCAAGATCATTTCATACTGATATCAATGGCAAGCGAAGCAAGTTCCAATAGAATGTGGAAGTGTTCTGACTGTTGACTTGTAGACTTTTTCCATCGGCCAGACAATTGCGGTTGCAATTGAATGTGCAAATGGGTTTGGTAAATTTCTCGAAAGATTGACAGATGGGCAAGTGGAGACGATTTTGAAAGTAATTGATCATGATTCAGAATGATTATACCAAACTAATCGATAGTACCTTAGGCAGAATATTCAGCAAGTATACTTTATATCGCGAGTTTGTTCTTTGCCAAAATGTCTATAGTAATGTTCATTCATGACTTCACACCTATTGCAGCTGAGAGAATAGCAACAAAAGTTCTTGGGATTGTGATATCATTATGGGCTATTACTTCTATTTTAGCTGTTGCCTTTCAGTGCCGGTCTTCGAAAGTATGGGATAGCATATCCGGCGAATGTTTCAATCAAGTCAGTATTTTCTACTTTCTACCTTTGCATTTGAACTCTTGCTGATATTCTTTGACCAAGATAGCTTTCTGGAATTATAGCGCAATCGTTAACATTGTGACCGATGCCAGTATAATCTTGCTTATAACATTCATAGCATTACACATACAGACTACCTGGAGTAGAAAACTCACACTGATATGCATCTTTGGTACTCGTATCTGGTTAGTATAAGTATAAGATCATTTTGAGATTCAATCAACTAAACTATATTAGTGTCATTGCTGCTGTATCCTGTCAGCTATTTTATTTGAATCAAAAGATAGAAGATCCAACCTTTGATCCGTGGCGAACGACAATTTGCAATCAGATCGTGCAGTGCCTTAGCATTATCACAGCATGTGTTCCATACTTGAAGATGTTTCTCAATAGTTTAGAGTCGGGATTGTTACGGTTGGATGACTTGCGTCGACGAGGCGGCAGGGCGACAGAAGATGATCGCGATTTTAATCGCAATGCCTCTGATTCTCGAGGAATCAAAAAATCAAAAACAGCAAAGAAGATTAGCCAGATATTGGGCTTTACGAGTTGGGGCAATTTAGAGAGTCAGAAACTGTCGGAATTTGCGCCGGGCCATTTAGCTACTCAATCAAATGCCGTTTTAGCAGTTGATGAAGGAAATTTATGGGATGGACAGAGCGAATCTAGTCAATCTAGAATCATAACCGAACCTCGTACTTGGAAATTGGATGTAAATTAGTTGGATAGAAGAAAGTCTCACGACATCAGTATCAAATTCAGTACTACAAGAACTGAAATCATTCTCAAGAGCATGAGACTACCGCATAATATAAAACCAACCCCGGACTAGTGCCCCGGGAAAGATTTGTATTTTTGATATGTATCAGGGGTCCAAACCCCAGCTTAGAACAACAAATCGGCTCATGTGCATGTGCAACTCCATGGATAAAAACACATGTAGCATTTTCATTAGACCCCTGAGAGAGCCTGCAACCATCTAATCTCTGCAACCATATCGTTTGGATAAATTACCTCACTTTATACAATTTCTCGTGGAAAAAAAAATGAGAAAGTCTCTTCTAAGATATCTCACACTCTGAGGTTCAGGAGTCAACAAATAAATATCCATATCATCAAAATGATCACACACAAACGCGACGACGAAGTCGAAGCTGTGGAACTCGGTGCCGTTCACAACAAAACTCTAGCACGCCATGATAGCGCCGAAAGTAGAGATCGAGATGAATTGATACGATTGGGAAAAAAGCCAGTTCTGAAGGTTTGTTAATTTTGTACTTTTACAAAAATCGCCTATCAACCCAAATTTCCACAAGATGAATTCCATATTCTAACATTCCTTAGAGAAACTTTGCATTCATGTCCATCCTCGGTTTCAGCTGCACCATTCTGATTACCTGGGAAGGAAGCTTAACCGTATTCATCAGCGGTCTTCAAAATGGCGGACCAGCCGGAATCATCTACGGGTTTATCTTCGTCTGGATTGGTAACCTGTCTGTTTTTTCCACCCTCTCAGAGCTGGTTTCTATGGCTCCAACTTCAGGTGGTCAATATCACTGGGTTTCTATGCTTGCGCCTCGCCGCTGCTCTAAATTTCTGAGCTACATCACAGGCTGGTTGACCGTTACTGGCTGGCAAGGTCTTGTTGCTTCGGGGGGATATCTCACCGGGACGATTATTCAAGGATTGATTGTGTTGACTGTGCCTTCATATGCGGCATCTGAAACTTCATGGCAAGGCACGTTGTTGTATTGGGCGGCGATATTTTTTGCGGTCTTTATCAATACGGTGGTTAGTAGTTTGTTACCGAAGTTCGAAGGTTTAATCCTGGTTCTGCATATTCTAGGCTTTTTTAGTATCTTGATTCCCTTGGTTGTACTAGCACCGCATGATTCGGCAAAGGATGTGTTTACTGGGTGGCTGAATGAAGGAAATTGGTCAAGTCAGGGACTTTCATTCTTCGTCGGGCTGATTGGAAATGTCTTTGCGTTTCTTGGTAAGCTTTTCGACATCTTTGGGGGTAGTTGTATGATGTGTTAACACTGTCTTAGGTGCAGATGGAGCATTCCACGTAAGTCTTCTGTTAAACGAGGCGTTGAATGATACCTGCCGAGATTTCTAAGGGAGACTAACAAGCAACGCAGATGTCAGAAGAAATCCGCAATCCATCTCTAGTAGTACCCAGATCCATCATCCTGAGCGTAATACTGAACGGAAGTATGGGATTTGCAATGATAATAGCGATTCTATTTTGTCTCGGAGACATTGATGCTGCGTTATCAACAGATACTGGATACCCGTTTATCGAGATTTTCTTCCAAGCGACTAGATCTGTAAGTGGGTCGGCAACTATGGCATCGCTAGTTGCCATATTAGGTTTGTGCGCTACTGTTGGTAGCCTCGCTTCGACATCCCGTATGCTTTGGTCGTTTGCTAGAGATCACGGTGTGCCTGGTTGGAGAACCATTTCAAAGGTGGGTGTGCAACAGTGTTCTTGATCCTACGAATTTTTTCTTGGCCTATTGAATTTGGCACTAACACGGCTGCGCATCTTGATCTAGGTTGATAGTCGCACTACGATTCCGCTGTGGTCTATTGCTATCACATGCGTTGTCTCATGCTTACTCGCATTGATCAATATTGGGTCCGCGACCGTCTTCAACGATGTTGTATCTTTATCTGTAGCTGGTCTCTATAGCTCCTACTTGATCTGCGCTATTCTCTTACTATATCGTCGACTCACCGGAGGGTTTCAAAAACTCACAGATATCTCTGATGGACCCGCTTTGGTAAACACTACAGGTGCTCAACTGGTTTGGGGTAAGATATATCTTCTTTCAGTGTTGCAACACTAACTCGAGCCGAATTAATAGGACCATGGCATGTTCCCGGAGTATTCGGTATTATCAACAACACTTTTGCTATTCTTTACTTGACTATTATTCTGTTCTTCAGCTTTTGGCCCTCTGCTTTACCGGTGACTGCAGCGAACATGAACTACAGCTCTCTGGTTACTGGCGCTGTAATGATATTTAGTATAATATACTATATTGTACTGGGGAGACATGAATGGAATGGACCAGTTGTCGAGATTCATTTGTGATATTTCAAAAGCAATGGGATTTGCTCAACTGAGTAATTGTCACATACTAAGCTCAACAGTTGGAGAGGAGGCTGGCATCGACATGAATGGATTGAGACCGAAAACATATATTGAAGGTGTATATCGTTGAAAATTCATGAAATGCAGTTTGGTGCTATGAGGTATGCGGGGCTTCGAGCGAGTTCCTAAATGGATGTTGAGTTTGCGCGAAATCGGCGTAGTCTCATCCATTGATCTAACGGACTTTGGTTCTTACATGGGTCGGCCATGCACTGGTAGTTACCGCTTGGTAAAAAAGGACTTTGCATAGAATGAAGCGTGTTAAATTGTTAGAATTCCAGTTTTGGGAAAGTATTTTGGAAAAAATTTACATTTGTCTTGTTGATTAGTTTGTTTAAGTTCTTCTATTTCGTCTTTCTCCTGTGACCCTCAAAGAAGAGCCTTTGCGGAAATCGTTCTTTCAAATGTAAATGATAGATATTCGCATAAAGGTATCTTGAATATGATATTATCTCAGAAACTTGCCACCCTGGAAAAAGACCTCCACCTATGCCGATAGCCAGCCCTTCATTCCATCTATTACTACTCTATCTCCAATTAATTCATCCCCAACATGACTTTAATTCCCCTCCATTTACCCTTCACCCCAGCTCCATACCCAATATCCACCACCGCCTTCGTAAATGCGAAGCCTTTTGTAGTGTCCGGAATCGGGTATTGAAGTGGGGGAGGAATAGCAGTACAAGCAGGAGACCATGGCCAACGATCCTCACAGACAGCTTTGATATTACAAAGTCCCCTCAAGCCCTCCTCACCTGCGAACCTTCCATAACCACTGCCTGCCACGCCGCCAAATGGTAACTGAACTGCATAGTATGCACCAAAATCATTTATAGCTACCATACCGGCTTTGATGTTCTTGACTATGGCGTTGAGTTCCCAGTCTTTGGATCCAAAGACTGATGCACCGAGTCCGAAATCGGGTTGGTTTGCAATATTGCAAGCATCTTCGGGGTTCTTGGCTCTCATAACGACGCAAATAGGTCCGAAACACTCTTCGTTAGCAATAGCCATTTCAGGGGTGACATCGACGAGTAGAGTAGGACTAAAGTAATGTCCAGAGCGATGGACTGGATGGTTGTAACGTTTACCGCCAACCAATAGACGAGCTCCATCCGAGACAGCTCCTGCGATCAATTTCTCGAGTCGGTCAAATGAAGCATCAGAAATGACTGCTCCGACATCAACTGGCGATTCTGCCGTAGAGTCGAGAGCAGAGCCGACACGAAGAGCTCGAATCCGTGGCTCGAGTGTTGCGACTATTTTGTCGTAAACGTCTGGAAGACCAATAATTCGTTCGATACCAATACAGTTTTGTCCAGCGGCTTGAAATGTACCACGAAGGAGGATTTCGGTGATACGTGGAAGGTCTTTGACGGCGGAATTCATGACAACCACCGCATCCTTCCCTCCAAGCTCGGCGACGACTGGAATCAAAGGCTTAGATGCTGCCGCAGCTACCAATTTGGCGACTGGTCGACTACCGATGAATGTAATATGAGAGATCTTAGGATGAGACGAAAGATGATTTGCGGTATCTGGCCAACATGTAACAACTTGAATCAGATTGGAATCATGACCACATGCATATAATGCTCCTCTTGCAATAAGAGAAAAATGCTGTGCACTCCACGCTGTATTTTCGGATGCTTTCACCACGATTCCATTTCCAGAGAAAATTGCGGAGATTATTGGGCCAAGCAAATTGTGAAGAGGATAGTTCCAAGAGACTAGAGCAGCGACAACTCCCAAGGGTTCGTATTGGACCGTATTCTTCTTATACATCATGAGCAAGTTCGTAGGTCTTCGAGAAGGACTCAATGCCTTTTCACCATGTTCCAGAGTCCAGTTAAGCTTCTCGACAGTCACTAAGATTTCTCCTAATGCGGCATCAATCATGGTTTTGCCTGAATCCAAACATGCGACCTTGCAAAGCTCATCCTGGTGATCCAATATGTATGCCATCATAGAGCGTAGTACCTGTCGCCTCTGAGTAAATGTAGTTCGCGCCCATTTCTTCTGTGCGACATGTGCCTTCTCAATTGCTTTATCAATATCTTCGGGCGTTGAAGGGGTAACATATCCTAGGAATTGACCAGTCGCTGGAGCATAACATTGAATATTTGAGGATTCGGCGGCCTATATATCATCAGCATCGTTGCCCCTGTGCCTATTTTGTTTCCACCAACCTTGATGCTCGGATTTTGCAAAATCTTCTTTTCCTCTGGTGCCTTGAGCTCAGCAATAGAATACCGTAGAATTGGCTCCGCATTATACCATTCAATAAAACGAATTGTTCCATAGAGAAAACATCCAACAACTGCTGTAGCCCCAGCGGCTAATGTGAACATGAGCTTCTCACTATAGAGACACATCTAGATTAGCAATAGTTCCCAAGATTCCTGCGCCAACTCAACTTACACATCCGAATGCTTCCAGCCCGCAAAGGGTCCATCTGGAAGGGGGTGGTCTCTTTCCATTTCGTCGATTGCACCTTAGCAATACTGGTAGATATTGGTATTGGGATATGCTGGCCGATTGGGGGGCCTATTTTCAAA